TCAAGTGTCCACTAAACCTCAGCTTCTGGAGGCTTGACCTGTCCTGGAGTCCGAAAGGTGAGGGTGATTTTAGAGTGAGAAGCTGACTGGCATAAGAGCAAAGCCAAATTAATACGGAGACATAATGTCAGATTTGAGGTCTGTGCCTGCCCGGGCATCATCTTATCCAACCCTCTCATTTAGGGCCTGGAAAACTGAGACCCAGGGAGAGAGAGGGACTTGTCCCCAGACGGCTACTTCTGGCATGAGCAAAGAGGAAGCGGAATGAGACTGGATGGGGAGATCTACTGAAGATCTTTTCTTTTTCCATTCAGTTGACATGTTCTGTCTGTAGGAAAGTGATAATTTTGTTGGTTTGTCTTTTTTTTTTTTTTTTTTTTTTGAGACAAGGTTTCACTACATAGTTCAGACTGGTTTTCAATTTACTTTGTAGCCCAGGCTGACCTCGAACCCTCAGTGATCCTCCTGCCTCAGCCTCCCAAATGCTGGGATTACAGGTGTGTGCCACCACACCCGGCTGGGAAAATGATGTTTATGAGGTATTCATTGGTGTGTTTGCTGGTTGAGTCTGTACCTGTTTACAGAACTGTCCTCCCTGAAGCAAATGCAATGAACCTAAGTACCTATTATGCATTTTTGGGCTAAGAATATGTTCTTATTCTGTTTGGAGATATTCTGAATGTGGTTGTTTATTTAATTATATGTTTGTTCCATTTTCCATCTATAGACCTGACAAATATATTAAAAAAATTTAAGCCTATAATAATATTTACTAGCAGGCTTTAATTTTAAGCTTAACCCACTGGAGCTATTTTTTACTTTTATGTTTTTATTCTTTTTGAACAATGTGGTTCCTTTAAATTCCCCAAAATAGGGAACAGGCAGGCCAAGTAGTGCTTTTGAAAGAATCCTTCTCACTCAAGAAGGTAGGAGAAACAAGCATCAGGTCATCGTGATATAGGAATGATTAGTGGACCTCCAAATAATATAAGGGAAATATTATAACTACCAACCTGTAGTTGCTCAGGTAACATTGATCCAGTGAACAATCACAAAGTGGATGTGGGGTGGGACAAAACTATGGTCAACCAATAAAAGTATGAGTTGAGTTGCTTAGATAATATTGATTAAATGAACCTGCTTCTCAAGGGGGTTTTATGGAGTAAAACCAGGAGAGGAGGTGGGTGTAAGGTAGGACAAAATATAAGTTACAAGTACAACTGCTTAGGTAATATTAATCCAATGGGAAATCGTAAGGTGGGGTTGAGGTGGGATAAAACTATGGCCAGCCAGTAAGAGTATTAGTATAGTCACTAAGTTTTTGTTGGATCATTGAACACAACTGTTTGCAGTCTCACTGTTTGAATGTCCACTTTGTATGCTTTAATCCTGTAATTTGAACAACTGTTTCTAAGATGACAATATGTAATCTATTAACTAGTGATTTCTTACTGTTTTTTTTGAAATTCTGTATTACTTGTACCCTTATACTGTTTTGTTTTTTTTCTCCTTTAAATAAAATTTAAAAATTTTAAAAAAATATTAAGTGGGAATCACATGGTGAAGAAAATCACATAGCAAGTGCACATGGAATGGATAAGAGCTTTCTGGGAAGGGATGGGTTGCAGAGGTTTTAGTCCTCCACCCAAGGTGATTGATGCCTGTTTAGAATATCAGTCACTGTTGTTCACCCCCAGGGAGGTATGTGGGTGCAGTCATTTCTCTGTCCTGAGGCCCGACCTTCAAGGAATGCACCTCACACTTGTCTTCTGCACTGATCTCTGAGGGCCCAGCCCTGTCTATAATATTTACAGCCCCAGCCTGTAATACTTCTAAATAATTTAGCTGTCAATTGTAAGGGGATCCTGGGCTGGAATCTTGGTCCAACCCTTTCTAGCTCAGTGAGCTTGGTCAAGTAACCAGAATCTCACTTTTTTCATGTGTCAAATGAAATAATAAAATGCAGGTGTTGGGTTTGGGTGAGTACTGGAAATAAAGCGTGGCATTTATATATTCTCTCAACAAGTGTGACTGAGAATTTACCCTGTACTAGGTTTCATGCTAGATTTTGAGCAAAACACATAGTGGGCCCTAGAGTCTAGGAGGAGGAAACAGGTAGGCTGAGGTTTTGTTCAGTGGATAGAGGATTCACTTGGTGTGTGTGAGGATCAGGGTTCCACTCCCAGCACTGTAGAGAGAGAGAGAAAAAGAGAGAGAGGGAATAGTGCATGTGCCCAATGCTAAGTACTATGTCAATAAGCACAAGTCCCTGCTCTCCCATGGATGAACCTTAAGAATGTGATACTGAGTGTGAAAAAGCCAGGGTCAAAGGTCTTATGATTCCATTTATATGAGATATCCAGAAGTCCTTGCGGATGGCGACCAGACTAGTGCTGGCCGGGGTTCAGCCTCAGCTAAGGAAAGTGAGGGGCTTCTTTTGAGTTGATAAAACTGTTTTGAAAGTACATAAATGTATAGCATTGTGAATGTACTAATTAGAACTGACAGTGGTAAATTTTATATTATAGGGATTTTTATTTAATTTTTTTTAAAGCAGGAGTAGGAATTATTTTTGTGTTGTTCTGGTTTTTGAGAGAGTCTCACAATGCAGGTTAGACTGGCCTCAAACTCATGATCCTCCCACTTTTGCCTCCCAAGTGCACCACCATACCCAACTCCTTTTCAAACATTTTAAAAATTTTTATGTTTTGCAGTATAGGAGAGTGAACCCATGAGCTTTACATTAAGTTACCCCTAACCCCTTTTAATTTTTTAGATTATTTTTGAGACAAACTCTTGATAGATCACTGGATTGCCCCGGCTGGTGCCTCAAGCTTCCAGTGCTGGCATTGCAAGCATGCAGACTTTACCTTAACATTGAGTGTGAGAAGCTTAACAATGAAGTAAGATTCTTTCCTTTCAGTCTTGTGTTAATTTTCCTAGTAGGCAAGAGGAAGTATCTGCACTGTGAAATTCTACTAGAGGTGCTAAACCTCTTTTATGCTTGCTAATCTCTGATTTTTAAATCAAAACACTCAATTTGGGAGCTCACCACCTATCGGGAGGCAGCAACAACTCACTGGGCTTTAAATCTGTAGATTTTTACCTTCACTGCTCTTCACAGGGTCTCGCTATATTGTTCAGGCTGGCTGTAAACTCACTACTAGCTCAGGCTGATCTCAAATTCACAGTGATCGTCCTGCCTCAGCCTCCCATGTGCACCAGCATGCCTGACTCTGGTTTTTGTGGTTGAAATTCTTTATGCTTTGCACATTGTGGGAGAGGGCACTAGGGATCGAATTCAGGATCTGAACTACATCTCTGGCCCTTTTTAAACTTTTTTATTTTGGTACAGATTCTGGCCAAATCACTAAGTTGTCCTGGTTAAATTCAAATTTGTGATCCTCCTGTCTCAGCCTCCCCAGAGTGCTAGAATTATAGGTGTGAGGTACCATACTTGGCTGCTTAGTATATTTTTTTATTGGTGTCTTATAGTATAAGATTTTGGTTTTCCACTTGTGGCTGGGATAGACTTTGTTTAGTGTAATTTATTTCTTTAATAATACTTATTATTAAAAATGAGAGGGACTGGTGGGGTAGCTGAGTGATAGAACTCAACCAAGTGAGAAGCTCTGGATTCAACCTGTAGCACTGCAAATAAATAAATGAATGAATGAATGAATGAATGAATGAATGAATGAATGAACGAACAGGAGGGGGATTTAATAATCTTGAAGCCGCCTTCACCTGACCATATTTGGGAAGGCCTATGTACAATCATGCAGATTAACTCTGCTAATCAGCTCAGCTCCTGACAGGGCTCGGTGGGATGATCCTCAGTGTCCTGAGTCCCACACCTATAACTGTTTTCTGGTGCTGCTGAGCCTGCTGAGTGACAAAGATATGGCCCAGAGACTGCAGAAGCTAAGCCACACAAATGAGGCTTTCTACAGTCATGAAATTCCCCATGCAAAGGAGACTGATGTAGGGGTGGCAGCCTTATGTCTGTGAGACACAGGCATAGGAGAACACATGGTTTTTACTTAAGATGAGCTGCTGTTCTTTGCTTGCAGGGTTAGGTCTGGAACCCAGGGTCTTGTACATGCTAGAATGTTGTAACACTGAGCTACCCCTGGCCCTATGCTGATTTTTTCAAAGGAGCACCTAGTGGAGACCCAGAGAAGTGGGCTAAGACACAAAGGTGGGGGCCAGTGTAGACTGAGGCTGTGTCCTGTGCCAAGCCTGTGATGGGCACTTTCATAGGCTTTTTACTCTGGCTGCCCACCAACCCTGCAAAGAATGCTACCCTTTTGTCTATTAACTTTCGTTTTTCAGTGCTGGGCATTGAGCCTGGGACCTCAAGAATGCTAAGCAAACTGTCTACCTTTGAGTTATGTCCTCATTTTATGGGAAGACTCAGCTTCAGACAGGTTAGGCAAACTGGGCATGGTGGTACATGCTGTAATCCTAGCACTTGGGAGGCTGAGGCAGGAGGATCACTGTGAATTGCCTGTATTATATGATGAGACCCTGTCTCAAAATAAATAAAATAAAATAAGAAAGAAAAGAAAAGAGGTTAGGCAAGAAAAAGATCAAGGAGGAACACAACAGGTGTTATAAACCCATATGGTTGCCTGGTGCCTATAGTCTTTTTATCTAAAGGATCCCTTAAATGAAATCATAACATTGACACAGAGGAGAAACTGAAAGTTTGTGTGCTTTGGATTTGGTCTTCAAGTTCCCTTTCCTGTTTCGATTGTCACGTGTAACAAATACAATTTGTGCTGGGGATTTAGCTCAGCGGCATAAGCACCTGTCTTGCAAGTATGTAGTCATGAGTTCGATCCCCAGTACCAATAAAAAAAGAAAAAGACAAAAAAAAAAATGAACAAATACAATTTGTGACCTGTCCTGCCTCCAGCTTTACTGACTGGCTTCTCTGACATTTATCCAGTTTCTGCAGGTCCCTGCTCTAACCTCAGTTTCCCTACTTCTTCCAGGACCTGCAGAGAACAAATGCTACGAACTCATGTGTGAGTGTGACAAGACCATTGCGTACTGCCTCGCCAAGGCTAAGTACAACCTCAAGTATTTGTTCTACCCTCGCTTTTTATGTGATGAGGATTCTCCCACTTGTAACTGACTGTCCTGACTTGAGATGTTCATTTGTGCAAAGAAATAAAGCTCCTTTTCACTGATGGACGACAGCATTCAGTTTTCTGCAGGAGGCAACTGAGGCCAAGGGATCAGGCGGTGAGGCTAGTTTGCTTTTGCCTTTTCTCTCCATCCCAGAACCCGGGACCCAGGAACCATCCTGGCTTCCAGCTGGATGAAGGTCAAAGTGTTATGGACAGTTAGTGTTAGCTTCACCTGATACCCAGGTTCACTGTATCCCAAACAAAGAATTGAGCAGGACACACAGAAGTAGTAACAAAGGCAGGGATTTATTAAAGGAAAGTACATTTCGCAGAATAGGAGTGGTCAGATGAGAAAGCTTAAAAGTGAGTTCTCCTCAGAGTGGTGTCATCTATTGTAGGTTTTGAGGTTAAAGTACATTCGGGAGAATTCCAAGCAGCAGCATTCACAGGTAGCACCATCAGTATGAAAGTCTGCTCTCAAGAATAGCAGGTGAGCAGAGCCAGAGAAGACAGCTGCAGTGAATTCTATTTTCATAGAATATGGGGAGTGGTCAAAGGTGTCAACTAGCTGGGCTTCTTTCCAATCAACTGTGAGTCTCCACTCTCCTGTCAGAAGGCAGAGTGGGGTTGATGTTATATAGGCCGAGAGAGAGCCAGCATGGCTGCCAAAGCCGGCCAGAGGCATCGACACCGCAGAGCTAATGGTGCTACAAAGACGGTGCTATGAAGCAGTTATGGTGCATGCTCTTCCAGCTTATGGCAGAGCCCAAGGAATGATGATGACAGGAACATACTTTTTAGGCTCATGTCAGGATGTTAAGGAGATGAGGTTAGGGTGGGATCATATTTCTGAGGCTTATGTCAAGATGTCAAGGAATTATGGTGAGAGGATACTCTTGCAGTTTCCAAGAGCCAGAAGGAAGGCTCTCTGTCATTTGTCTAAGTCCAGAATGTCTCTCATGCTCTCTGGTCTCAAAAGGTGTCAAGCCTATTTTACTTTATTTGTGGTTCTGGGACTCAAACCTAGAGCCTTCATACTGTATCCTCATCCCTTTTTGAGATAGGATCTTTGTTAAGTCACTAAGGATGAGCTGGATGTTGAGATTCTCCTGACTCAGTTTCCCAGAATGCTTGTGGCATGGAGCATCACATCCAGACTGATTTTATTTTTGAGACAGTTCTATAGTGTCACCTAGGCTGACCTTAACTGTCTGTATAGCCTAGACTGGTTATGAACTCACAATTTTCCTGCCTCAGCCTCCCCAGTGCTGGGATTAGGCATGTACCACAACCACACCTGGCTCTCGTGTCTGTGCACGTACCTAGGTTTGGTATTTTTCAGGTTCATTCTGTATGAAATGGTGGGCTTTGTCTTTTAACCTGCTCCTGATGGCTGCTAGTCAAATGTGAACAAATCCCACTAGGTGCTTGGCCATGCTGTAGATCCTAGGTTGTGGTGATAAATGACAGTCACAGAACACCACTCCTGTAAAGGTCAAATCTAGTACATGTGAGTTTATATACAGTAATCTTAGCTGGGCACATGCCTGTAATCCCAGTACTTGAAGTGAGGCAGGATGACATTTGAGGCAGCCTAGGCTGTAGAGTTCAAGGCCAGCCTGAGTTACATAGCAAGACCCTGCCTCAAAGAAAAAAATTTGGTTGGGGAAGCACATGCCCATAGGCCTAGCTTCTGGGGACCGCCAGGCAGAAGTTGGAGGCCAGCATGGGCAACATAGCAAGGCTTTTTTTTTTTTGGTACCAGGGATAGAACTCACAACCTTGTGCCTGCCAGGCAGATGCTTAAGCCTTTCAGCTATTTCCTTCTTGGAGAAAAAAGAGAAATACAAAACAATATAAAGCAGGAAAAAAGTTCCCACCATCCAGAATAATCACTGTGTTGCCATTAGTCTTTATTACTTTTAAAAAATGCATTGTTGAGGTGATACCATAGGAAAACCTTTTTTTTTTTTTTTTTTTTTTTGAGACAGAGTCCCACTGTGTAATGCAGGCTGGCCTCAAACTCATGGCTATATTTCTGCCTCAGCCTCATGAGTTGCTGGGCTTACAGGTGTGTACCACTATGCCTGGAGAAGCCGTAGGGTCTTCATAAAGGATCTTTTTCTGTTTTCTTTTGCGATGCTGGGGGTTCTGGCCCAGGTCCTTGCACATGCTAGGTACTTTTTCTTTTGAGACAGGACTTTGCTAGGTAGCCCAAATTGGCATTGAACTCCCATTTTGTCTCATGCTGGGATTAAAGGCATGTACTAGCCTGCCTGGTTTTGGCTGATATTTTATAAATCACCAACTTTTATTTAGTGGAGATACTTGTTTTAATCAGTTGTTATGAGGATGATTTTATAAATTAATCTCCAACCACACATAGATACCTTTTTGTTTCCTGGCCTGAATTTAGAGAAATGGTATTTTCTGTCATAGGGTCTGCATATTTTGCGAGGACACTCCTTTGGATGCCCTCAAGCCTGCCTTTACAGACATCTTGGCACATACACTCTGAGAATGCCAGGCCCTCCTGGCAATAAGGAATGAGTGCCTCGCCCACCTGTTTGCTCTCCTTGCAGCCAAGTCTCCTTCACCTTCCTTTCTGAAAGGTCTAGGTATAACACATCTTTGAAGCTGGGTGTGGGAGCAGAATATGGGAGGTCATGGGGGTGGGGTCCTGGTCTGGGAGTCTGGCCACTACTGTCCTCCTCAGGCCCAGAAATATGCATGCAGCCAGTTCCAGCTTTGTGACCTCTGCCAGGCAGGAAAGAATACCAGTAACACCACAGGGTCTGAGACCAGGCATGCACAAGCACCACGGTGTCTCCATACCCATATTACAACAGGAAAAGTGGTGTGTCCCTGGGGTCTGATAAGCATCAAGATTGAAGAATTCTCCTCCTTCACTAAGATGCCTCAGTGCTGACCAATGGTTCGACATCCATAGGGAGCTGGAAGCTTACATCTGACTTGCAGATTAAAGCCAGCAACTCTGATTTTTTTTTTTTTTTTTTGGTGGTACTGGGGATTGAACTCATCACCTTGCACTTGCCAGGCAGGCGCTTATGCCGCTGAGCTAAATCCCCAGCCCAACTCTGATATTTTTTGTGTATTTTGTAAACAGTTTTTCCTCTGCAGAAGTTTTATTTGTATAAAACTCTTTATTTCAAGTAATTTCTTCAAACTTTCAGACGCAAAGTTCGAGTGAAACCTGCACATGGAGATACAAAGGGTTATTAAATAATTAATGGAGTCACAAACACATACTTTGGATATAGACTTATTTCAATGAGGCCAATCTTGATAAGGTCACTGCATTCTGCTATTTTCACACTGGATGGAAATGAAAGGCCATACAGCCTTCATCTCATTCCCACTTATAATTATAGCACTGGGGTAATTATATCTGTTTATACATCAGGACAGAACAATAAAGATTATACATATACAGTGTGTGGTCAGTTTATAAAATACTTCTTGAACAAAAACTATCCCAGATTTATTTTATGAATTAAATTCTTAAAAACAAAACAATAGCACTCCAAAACAATGTTTTTAAGTAGCCTGATGCAGCTTCTCGAGATGGAAATTACACCCCATAAATTTTCTGACATCCCACTCAAACCCTTTGCTCAGAAAAAAAAGAGATCCAAACTTTCAATGATTGCAAAACAGTGCCTAGTGAGGATGAGTTCACCATCATTCTCATCTCAAACTGAATCCTTTTTTAAGGCTCACTCCAAAATCTAACACCTACTCACAGGAGAGAACTGTTGATTGAATTCTGGGTATTCCTCTGTACTTTTTATGTGTAATAACCCAGGCCTATGACAAAATTTCAGTTTCCGTTTTCCTCAACTTGACTCATAGGATAGGACTGGCCCTAACAAGCCTGGTCTCAGGCTCTGGAAGCCTGTCAGTCACTGAGGTTAGGGCAAAAGGGACTGCTGATGTGATGACCACTGGATAACACCTACTGTGTCCTCTAAGGACCTTGAGTCCTGCCAGCCACTGGGCCTGAGTCTCCCATGATCTTGTGAAGGGAGCTGGTGGGAGGTGCTTCTGCTGTGGGCTAACAGAGAATCCTCCTTGTACTGGTTATCAGTCTCTGCCATCACAGGGTCATGGCAGGGAGAAGACCTGGTTGAAGCCTTTGACATACAAAGCAGCACCTTGTTTTACTTGGGTAGAAAACAGGAAGCTCGCTCCGTCACTCCCTGCTCTGGGAGTCTGAGGAGTCTCTTAGAGCTGGGGCAGCGCCAGTCACAACACTTGGGTTTCCAGCCGTCGAACTTCCTTGACAACAAGATCGATGTTAATAATTGGATTGAAGTACAAGACCCAATAAAACAAACAGTTGCAAATAAACTGAGGAATGAGGGGCCAGAACATGGCCACGAAAAGTGCCTGTGTTGAAACTTTCCAAAAATGGCTCCACATCCTCTGAGGCACAGTCCTGCAACGAGAAGAAGAGTGGTTCAGACACTTGGGCCTCAGCCTGGGACTCCTCTGCCTCACAGGGCAGCTTGCCTGGGCCACGGAGACCACGTCCTCTGTCACAGGTGCCGATGCACACTTGGACCTTTGCTGCCTAGTCAGTCTTTGGTTCCCAGGATGCAGCCCACAGCCACAGATGGCTGGTCCCTAACCTCACCTGCTTGTTACTGTCACACTTTTACTTACTTTTAAACGTTGCAGTGCCCTACACAGAGGCAGGGGTAGAGAAAGGGCATAAATATCTATATTCTCTGTGTGAGTTTGCTGAATCAAAATACATGAGGGAGATTCCTGTCAGGTTCTCAGAACTATAAGGTTGATTCTGATAGAAAAGGCCAAAAAAATTTCACAAGTCATGTGATCAAGATGAAAGAATGTGGTAGACACTGCTTCTGCCTACCCTGTACGCATCCCATTCTGGAAATACCTTTTGAGTTTTGCTTTGGGGATGTCTCCTCTTCACATATTCTTTTTCTTTTCTCTTAATCTTGTTAAGTCACCCCTGATGAGCTCAAAATTGTGATCGTCCTGACTCCGCCTCCCAGAGCTGGGATTAAATGCAAGTGCCATCATGCCTAGTTACCCCATTCTTTCCTTTGAGGGTACAGGTTACTGGGGGCTGAGCCCAGGGCTTTGAGCATGCTAAACATGCACCCCTGCACTGAGTACATCCTCAGTCTCTCCCTCACCTATTCTCTGGGTTGGACTGAAAGTGGCCCACAGTGGTGAGCTGAGTACATGCCTGGGGCTGGCTGAGGAGAGCTCTGCACAGCCCTGCACAGCCCTGATGGGACTGGGAAGGCATATCACCCAAGCTGGCTCCATCAGAGGAAAAGTGTGTGAGCTCTGAAACCTGGTTACAAGTTATATATGAGAAAAGTGCTGTTTTTTTTAATTTTTAAATTTTTTTTTTTTTTTTTGAGACAAGATCTCACTAAGTTCCTGGAACTCATGGTGATCCTCCTGCCTCAGCCTGCTGAGTGCTGAGACTATAGGCATGTGTCACCATACCCAGCCTGTAAGTGCTTCCTTCCCAACAGGACTGCTGAAATGCTCAGACCAAAATCAGGAGTAGCTACAACTCCCACATGCAAGAGACTGACTAACACAGAAAACAGCAAGGATGTGACAGGGAGAGTTGGTCCTGACCACATCCTCTGGGGCTCCGGGTCCAGCACACTTGCTGACCTTTTCAATAAAGCCAGTTTAGGTTGGCTCCTGTCACCTGCATCTAAGAGCCTCTGACTATGAGGCTATATAGAACAGCTCTGTCATTTCTTTCACTGATCTACAGAAGTTATCATTGTTCTAGTTGCTGGCAGAACAGCATTTGATCAGCAGGCTACAGAATCCCCAAGAGCTCGAGTGGGTGGAGTGGGGAGAAAGCCAAGCCTGTGAAGAGCCCTGTAGTCAGTGGATGTGACAACTCCTACCAGCTCTATGACACTGCAGTTTCCTGTGAAGGACCCTCTTCTCACTTGCTTACTCCTTAATTATTAAAATTCTTCACATATATATACCCTACTGAAATTATCTGGCTGATTATTATGTAGATATGAGAAATGTAGGGGAACACTGTAATAATGAGCACAACCCCTCCTCGCTTAAATGTAAACTAACTTTTCTACTCACTATTTGAGTAGTGTTTCTCAAGTCAGAGTCTGAGAAGTCTTGGCAGAGGATATTTTTTCCTTTTCAAGTTTGACAACTACTTCAAAGGGAATCTTTCCCCTAGTTAGTTATTTCCTTCCCAAACTTGTTGCTCCAAACATCTCTCACACAAAAACACACTTACTTCAGCTCATTTCTGGACCAGATCCGCCAAAAAGAGAATAATTCAAGAACTGAGAGTAACATGGCATTGACAATGAGAAACCTTGACGTCCAGTAATGGACCTCCAGCCAGTTCCAGGCAAACTCAGCGATCAGCTGATATGGAAGGAAGGAGTACTTGACAAGGAACTCTCTCCACTGCTTCCAGGTGGGCTCCCTCAGATCCTGAAAGACAACACATACAATTCTGAAGGAATTCTCAAGTGAAGTCAAAGAAACAAGTGCCCACAGGGTGGAGTGGGGAGAAAGCCAAGCCTGTAGTCAGTGGATGTGACAACTCCTATCAGCAAGTTGGGAGATGACTGTTTTGAGGCGTTCAGGACAGATGCAGACTCTGCTTTCACAGCAGGAAAAATAACCGCCCTTTGGAGGTTCTACTAAGTGACACACCACAGATCAGAAGGCCCATACTTCTAATTCCTTTGTGTGGTCTGGACCTAGCCAATCTTCTTTTTATCATGAAAGTAATGTTTCATGTTTTTCTTTTTAATATTTCAAGTCCAAAGGATTGTTCCTCTTGTTATGCAATGCATGAAACAAAAGAGCTTCCAGGAGAGGTCTGGCTTCATTTTCTTTTGTGTGTGGAGGGTATGTCTCTCTGCAAAATTCACAGGAAGCCTGGCTGTTGCTTGCTGTTCCATAGGACCTATAGCCATGTCTCCAATCCCACTCTGAGGGATAGAAGCCTAATTCTACTCCAGGCACTCTGTATACCTACCAGCAGCTTGGTGATGATGTCGTCCCCAGAGCTGTCCTCCTGCAGAGGGCAGATAGTGTGGATGAAGGGCAGGAAGGTGTCTGTGTAGTCAAACAGGTACAGGTACAGCAGACCAAGTCTCGGGGAGCTCTTGAGGGTGTAGAGCAGAAACAGGGACCTGCCTGGATTCACTGCCTACAGGGGAAAAGCAGGCAGAGGACCACGTTACAACCACAGTTGTAACCACAATGGCCAGCTCCCTATTCACATTTTTTCTGTGGTCTCATGCCTTTACCATCAACTTTTTTGTTGATGTGTGATGTGCACAAAAAAAAAAAAAAAAAAAAAGAATGAATGAATGGCAATAAGAGACCAAGTAATTCATCTCTTGGCCTATATTATAAAAAGACCCAAGCCAGGTGTGGCAGCACAATCCTGTAATCCCAGCACTTGGGAAGCTGAGGCAGGAGGATTGTTGCAAGTTTGAGATCAGCCTGGGCTACAAAGTGAGCTCAAGGCCAACCTAAACTATATAGTGAGACCTTGTTTCAGATAGACAAACAAAACAAAACAACCCACAACACAAAAGAACCCCCTGGTCTTTATCCACAGATGAGATAGAGATGAGAAGCCTGCTTCTTCGCCCTGCTGTTAGAACACAACATTTTGGGGATGCAGTTCTGAAAAACAGTTTCTAAAATGTTCAAAGCCAGGTATGGTGCCTCATGCCTATAATCCTAGCTACTTGGGAGACTGAGGCAAAAAGATAGGGAAAAAAAGGAAGGAGAAAGGGAAGAAGAGCTCAATTTAACTCATCTGTAAGTGGATACCACATGATGAAAATAACTGAACTAGAGAAGGCTTCATGTATAAAATGTTTGGTGTTGCCCTGTCACAATGAAAACCAGTGAAATTTAGGGCCTAAGTAGATGTGCAGCAAGATGATCTATCCGTGTCAGAGTCATGACGGCAGCCCTTGCTCAGCACTGGCGGGCCTTTCCTGGAGGATCACCTGCTCCCAACACAGTCCACACAGATTAGTTAGGATTGCAGAACCTTCTCTCAGAACAGACCAGGAAAAAACAGAGCTGCAATATTAATCATATTTGAATATTAAGTGAGATTATAGGTAATTTCCTTCATTTTTGCAAATCTTTGAAATTTTACTGTGATGAAGGTTTGTTTTTTCTTTGAGTCTACTTATCTGATATTTGGAATCAAGTACACTGGGCACTTTGTGGAAGAAGACACAAAGACAGGAAGCAAGATCACCAAAGAGGCTTACTATCACTGGTATTTTAAGAAATACATACTGGAATGATCCTGGAGGACTGGGGTGTAGTTCAGTGGTACAGTACTTGCCTGGCATGCATGACCGTGGATTTGATCCCCAGCACAGTGAAAGAAACAATGGAAATCACTGCACACCTAGTAGGATGGGAGCAGTAAGAGGGGAGAATATAAAGGGAGAGGAGGACGTTTGCAGGGAGGTGGATGTATTCCTCACTGTGATTGTGGTCATGCTTTCAAAGATATGTACACACGTCAAAACATACCAAATTACTCACTTTAAGCATGTGTGCATTAATTCTACGCAATAAAGTTTTAAATCTAATTCAGTTTATTTGATGTCATCAGTGGTTTACTATTAAATTTTTAAGTGTGAAGAATACCATTTTTAAAAGTCTCTTTAGAACTTCACACTACAGTACACAAGGATGAAGTAATATGTTTGGATACATTTAGACTCATACATCTGTCCCTCTATTTTTGTATACATCTGAAATTTCTGTAGTGAAAGGGTTTTTTGTTTTGTTTTTTTTTGTAATGAAAGTTTTTGTTTTGTTTTGAGACAGGGTCTTGCTATGCAGTTCAGGCTAGCCTTGAGCTCACTTTGTAGCCCAGGCTGGTTTCAAACTTTTAATGATTCTCCTGCCTCAGCCTCCTGAGTGCTGGGATTACAGGTGTGTGTCACCATGCCCAGCTGTAGTGAAAGGGTTTTAACAATCCATTTAGAAAATGGCAGATTTTAGGTCTGGAGCAGAAAAGAATGCTTTGAGCATCTCGACATTTTGAGAAAGGAAAACAAGGACCAATGAGGTCATGCCAAATGACTCTCTAACAAGTTAATGATGATGATGGTGATGGAATGCTGCAGAATGAACCCAGGGAGGACCTCCAGCATATTGGGCAAATGCTCTACCACTGAGCTGTACCTCTAGAACCATAAGACATTTCTTCACTGCAGCACACTCCATGAACTTTTTATTTCTTCTTTTTTGAGACCAGGTCTACTCTAATTAGAGCTGGCCTTGAACATACTATAGTAGCTCAGGCTGGCCTGTGATCCTCCTGCCTCAGCCTCCGAGTATTGGAATTACAGACATGCACGCCATGCTCAGCTCCATGAAATGTTAATACCACACTTATACTATGAATCTCTTTATGTACTGTGATCTTTTTGGAAGATGACAAAAAGTCACTGTCATCCATTAAGGCTTTTCTATCCCCTAAGAACCCATTTTTGGGGACAGTACTGCCCTTGAGGACCCATGAGCTCAAGGAACACAGGCCCCAGAAGTAAAGCCTGCTGTATGCAGTCAGAGTAGAGTAAGGACAAGAGATAGGGAGATGCCACATTCCATGTTTGCAGCTCTGGTATCAGTGTGAGTGCTGGACCCAAACAACACAACTCGCTTACATCCTAACAGATAAGGAGGAAAAATAGCTGCCCAGTGAGGTGACTCTGATGACACCTCTAAGAAGGCAGCAATCTTTTCCAGGGATTTAGATGGATTCACCAGGACACCTGGGCTGGAGGAATCTTTTAGCTAATTGTCAAATGTGCACAATCAAGGAGGGGCTGGGCTACAAGGAAGAGGGAAGGACTGAGGCGGAGATCATCTTGGTTTGACAGCAGGAGCAGATTTAAGTTCCCATTCACTCTGGTTAATATTAAGAATGCTTGTACAAGCTAGGAAGGGTGATGCACATCTATAATTCCAGTACTCTGAGAGGCTGAGGCAGGAGGATCCATAGGCAGTATGTTCTAAGGGAGCTCGCAAGGAGCCCAGGCAGATGGCCCCAGAGCCTTGCCCATTTTTTCTGTTTTGACACATGTGATCCTCCTGCTTCAGCCTCCTAAATGCTGGGATTTCAGGCATGCTCCCTTATGCAGAACTATAGCCTAGCTTTTTTTTGGTCTTTTTTGAGCCAGGGTCTCGCTGTGCAGTTCAGGCTGGCCTTGAGCTCACTTTGTAGCCCAGGTTGGTCTCGAACTCGCTACGATCCTCCCACCTCAGCCTCCAGGGTGCTGGGATTATAGGCGTGAGCCACCACACCCGGTATAGCCTAGATTTTGATTACTAAGCTCTGCTGCCTCCACTTCGAATATAAAGCAGTGAGATGTCAGATCAAGAGAGAATAGTTTAAATTGAAGTATTAGAACAAACTACCCTCCAGAGAGAGTGCATGAATTCATGATCCTCAAAATACACAAGCACCTCTTTCTTCATATTAAATGCCAAATCTGACAATAGCATAAGTGAGAAAAGTCATTGGCTTATTTAGTTGGCCCTTCTTTAAGTATGAGTGGGTACTGCGTCTCATAAGTTTATTAGTTATCTGATTTTTCTCCATGCTCTTTTCTCAGAGTTTAAGTCTGTTTATTTCAGATATGTTATGACTAATAACAGATTTGCTTTATAGTATTCATTAAATCCTAATTGTGAAGAAGACAAAATCAGCAGTCACATTAAAGACCAATTTAGCAGAATTTAGTAACACTGAATGCATGTTACTTATGACCTAATAATTTCACTCTTCAGTATATACCATAAAGAAACTCTTGTATATGAGCCCAAGAGCTTCCCAGAGTATCCAGAGCATCCCTGCTTCTACTAGCAAAAGTGGAAACCCATGCAGCACCCATCAACAGTAAAACCTACAAGTTGTCACATACATGTCTAGGAGAACAGTCTTGAGAGAAAATGATGAACTGGAGCCACAGGGATCACAGTTACACACAGAAGGACATACTCACAGTTTATGCCTCTTGCATTAAGGTTAACGCCTGAAAAAAAATGGTCCTGAGCTTGGGGACTCCACTGCAGTATGGAGTAACATAGGCCCAGCAGCCCTGCAACAACAGGGCTGGCTCAGAAAGAAAGGTGGACATGAGGTAGGGGAATACTAGCTTTTCTTACATTACACAGCAGGCAAGGAGATGATTACTATGTTGTACACTATTTTTTTACAATTAAAAAAATTCGAAGGTTTCACCTTATATTCCCAGAGATTCTGGGGGGGCTTCACGCCAAGTGCTTTGACGCGCTCCAGCTCCGTGAGGATGGCTCTTCTGTGGCTGCTGTTTTCTATGGCATAGGGTGCTCTTGAGAATTCTTCCTCTGTCAGCGTTAAAAGCAATCTGTGGTGCGAGGGACAGAAGATATCTTTTGAGATTATATATTGGAGCAAATTTTCTATACTGAGATCCACCTTATCAATGCAAGTACTTTAGGCTTGAGGTAAAGAGAGACATTAAACATATAATAGTAGTAACAGCAAACAGCTGGATGCCAACTAATAGTATTTTTTTTTTTTTTGTCTTTTTCATTTTTATCGGTACCGGGGATCGAACTCATGACCGCCTGCTTGCAAGGCAGGTACTTATGCCGCTGAGCTAAATCCCCAGCCCCTACTAGTATTTTTTTTATAAACCACAGCAGATTATTTAACAATTCTTTAGGGCAGAGTGGCAATGTGCCCTTTTTGTGGACCAGAAAACAGGCTTAGGTAAATAAAGCAACTTGCCCTCAGCATACCAAGGTCCATTTTGTTCCTAAGCCTTTGATCTTTCAGTTAAAGATTCTGGTCTTACATTTTGCTCTGGCTTATATATAGGGAAAAATTTAGAAAGATACCTAGTAAAATATTATGACATTAAGAATGGCTGTTTTAGGTAGGTATGGTGGTGCATGCCTATAATCCCAGCATTGTAGCAAGTTCAAGATCAGCCTGGGCTGTAAGACCAACCTGAGCTATAAACTGAGCGCAAGGCCAGCCTGAACTGCACAGTGTGATCCTGTCTCAAAAAGACAAAAAAAAAAAAAAAAAGAATGGCTGTTTTAGCTGGGTATGGTGGAAAGCATTTGGAAGGATGACGCAGGAATACTATAAATTGGAGGTTACCTTGGACAACATAGCAAAACCTTATCTTAAAACAAAACAAAATGAAAAACACAAAACACAGTAGTTATTTGGGGACAGGGATTTAATTTAATAAAAAGTATTGTAGGTCCCTTATCTAATTTCCTGATCAGAAAGTAAGATTCCATTTCCAAGGCGACTTATCATTAAAACTCCTTCCTACATATAGAGCAGACATGGGTGGAGGGGTATGGCTCAGTGGTAGAGTGCTTGTCCCACAAGCACAGGGGCCTGGGTTTGTTCCTCAGCACAGGGGAAGTGAATCACTGTACACAGGCAAGCAAAAGGGACAACAGCAGCTTCATGCAACTCTTGAGTGGAGCAGTACAAATGTGATGGTCCTACCGGGGGTGATTTGCTAGTAGTTAGTAATACTTATTAAAGATATACACACACTTATTCCTTTTGACCCAGTGATTTCAGTTCTAGGACTGTATCTTATAGACTAAAATTACACTAAGAAACATTGTATTAACTACACAGTAATTTTTAACCACAGTTTTAGGAGAAGCTAATTCTTACAAGAACCTAATTCAAATAGAAGCATTTTGCTTTTCCACAGGAAAGTCACGTGTCAAAAAGCTTGGTGAAAGCTAGGCACAGTGATGCATGCCCACTATTCTGGCCACTCTGGAGAATCTCAAGTTTGGGAGCAGTCAAAGAAATTTAGCAAGACCCTGTTACAAACTGAAAAGGGTGGTGGGTGTAACTTAGTCGCCCCTGGATTTATCTCAGTTCTTAAAATTAAAAAAAAAAAAAGCTAGTTAGGGAGGTGCATACTGACTAAAAGTGGGGCAGTAAGTAAATTCCATATCTAAAATAAATGGATTAAGTGGATTATAGAGGGGTCTGTTCCTACTAACATATGGTGGTCTATGCAACCACTATACACAGGGATACATCTATATCTATGTGCATAAAGAAACACAGGTCTACTTAGTACACAGTAATTTTAGAATTAATGCGGGGTGGGTGATTTAGCTCAGTGGCATAAGCACCTGCCTTGCAAGCAGGTGGTCGTGAGTTCGATCCCTGGTACCGATAAAAAAAAAAAAAGAAATGAAATAATGCACATTTATATATTGTAATGTATAAAAATCTGGGAGCTGGGGATGGAGCTAGTGGTAGAGCGCACTTTTTTATTTGTTTTTTTTAAAACAGCATCTTAGTATGCAGTGCTGGCTGGCCTCAAACCCATGGCAATCCTCCTGCCTCAGTATCCCAGTGCTGGAATCACAGGTGTGCACCATCATGCCCAGCAACTGCACTTTTCTAAAGAGTAAGATTACAAAGGTATTTTCACTGTCAATATCATGTAGTCCTGCATTATTTTTAAAAAGTAGTAAATGCACACTGCTTTTACAATCAGGAAACCACAAAGACAAAAAAAGTAAACATAGAACAAAGAGATAACAAGATTAAAATTAAGGCATATTGCAGCATAAGCGCCTGCCTGGCAAGCGTGAGGTCGTGAGTTTGATCCCGGTACCACCAAAAAAAAAAAAAAAAAAAAAAATTAAGGTGTATTAAATATATGTACCAACTTCCCAGAACAAACTTTGCCATCATGTAATACTGACATGCACTAAAAACGCAGACTAAAACCAAAAATTTACTTGATGAAAAAAGTTACATGTACATACAAGTTATATTAAAATACAGTGTTTTAGACAGTGGGGGAATAAACATAGGGTTATCTTGCAACTCAGCTTATTCCACTCCAGGAAGAGTAAATTTATATCCACGAAAATTTATATCCACAAAAAATCTTTTTGTTTTTTTTGAGACTGGGTCTTGCTATGTAGTATAGACTAACCTTGAACTCAGTGGGAATCCTCTTGCCTCAGCCTCCTGAACGCTGGGATTACAGGTATACACCACTATGCCCAGCTGATCACACAAAATCTTGTACACAAATTACCATAGCAGCATTGTTCCTAACAACCAAAACTAGGAGTTAACCTAAATGTCCATCAACTGAAAAACAGATGAAGACAATGTAGTCTATCCAAATAATGGCATACTTTTCAGCTATAAAAAGGAATGAAGCACTGATACATGCTATATCATGGGTGAACCCTGAAAACACGCTAACTGAAAAAGCTACATACAAAAGGCCAATTTATATGAAGGTCCAGAATAAACCAATCCAGGTTTGCAAACATTCAAGTCAAATGGTGTTTGCTAGATTTCAGAAGACAGGGAAACATGGACTGACCAGTAAGAGGGTATGAGATTTTTTTTCTGGAGTGAGAAAATGTTCTAACCTAAACTGTGTTAAGGGTTGCACATATATGTGAGTACACCAAAAACCACTACCTGTACACTTCAAATGGGTGAATTTTGTGGCATATGTATATATCTCAACAAAGCTGGATAAAAGATGTGTGTTGATGGGGACACAATAATCTTAGCATTCAGGAGGCTGAGGCAGGTGAGTTACTATGAGTTCGAGGTCAACTTGGGCCACATAGTGACTTTGAGGCCAGTATAGATTACATGGTGAGACCCTGTCTCAAAAGCAAAAACAAAAACAAAGCTGGTTACAGAAGTGCCCAGGGCATGCTAGAAGACACTCCTCCTCACCTTCCATTTACTCTTTCAGATAAAAACCTGTCTCTGTAGAGGGAGGCCCAGGGGCCCAGCTGCTCCAGCCAGAGGACAACTTCTTCTGCCGTCCATTTAGCCACAGCCTTATGGACCAGAAGGTCATGCTCAGATTCTCTGCTGCTCCAGTGATACACAAGCAGGACCACCTGGGGAAAGGACGCAAAGAGGTCAGATCACCCCTCTCTGAGTATAGGAGCGTAGGGCTGTGCAGGGATGAGCTGAACTGGAAGGGGATGATGCCACGTCCATACTCAGTAACTGGGCAATGCCATCACCATAGAGGAGTAGGGTCACAACAGTCCTCTGGCTCCTCTCTCTGCTCTCCACTGGGTAGTGAGGGGACAGACACCAGGACAGGACTCATCCTAGGGCACTTGGTAGTAGTTGTACCCTTGAACCCATCAACTTAGTCAACACAACTGACCTTTTTAAAAATAAGCCTTTTCTACTGTAAAAGTATTTAGATCTTTAGAACACAGGACTAAAAAAATAGTAGTCTTTACACAGAAAGTTAACAGTATGTTCTTAGGACTGTGTCTTCAAGGCACGTGTCTCAATGCCCACTTCTATCATGTGTCTGCCCTGTTTCCTCACCTCTACAATGGCACAATGGTTCCTGTTGCACAAATCACAAAAAGGATTGGACAGGATGCAGCTAACATTCATTGGGCACTGACAATTTTGTAGTCACTTGAGTAAGCAACATTCTGAAGAAATCATATAGCGCAGCAGCTTTCAGTGGACACAGTGAGTTATACACAGTCACACCAGCCGCTTAATGGTTACTGAGAGAACAGTAATGGTTACTGCAGTGGAGACTGGGGGCGGGGGGGGGGGGGGAGAGATGAGCAAAAATGGAGAGACTTACTGCCACACCAGTTAAAGCTGTAAGCACTCCGGAAAAGAATCCCCCTCCTCGCTGCTGATTCACTCGGCCTGGGTTGGGAGCTAAAGGAATCTGATCATTTCCATATTTTTGAAAGGCTGCAAGACTTTGGACTATGTCATTATTCCTTTGAATGTCTTCAAATCTCATTCTTATAGCATCAGGAAATAACTTCTCAATAGCATCCCTGTGAAGAAGAAAAAAAATCATAAGATAGTTGTTTGACTAAATGTAATGTTTACAGGCCAAAATAAAAGTGTATACAGTACTTAATAGTATAAAGGTGGCTAGAAGAATGTAAAAGAAGGTCTTCTATAGTCCTCTTAATAAAAGCAAAAAGTTAGAAACAATCTCCATGTCCACTATTAGGAAAACAGTTAATTGGAATACGGTATATTCTTGAAGAGGAGTACTGTGAAGTTTTATCAGTTAGTCTATTAGATGGATTACTACATGCCAAGATGGATAAACTTAAGATACACTTATTGAATGAGAAAAGTATTCTGCAGAGCCACTCAGCTAGACTGTACACTGACAATGCAAGTAAACGTTTGTATTCTTTATTGGCGCAAAAGCATTTAAAAGTATCCTTTAAAATTTGAAAGAGGAGTTGGAAGTATACCTCAGAGATACAGGACATGCTTATCATGTATGAGGTCATGAGTTTAATGCCCAGCACCATCAAAAAGCCAAAATAAATAAATAAAAGAAAACACGATTAAATCATGACTGAAATTATTGTGGAGAAAAGTAAGGGATGAATCTAAGATGGGAAGAGTGGGTTTAAGGGGTCTGTTGCTTGGTCAGTAATGTTCTAATCTTTTTAAAAGAATGTAAACAATGAATGTATTGGTCATGTTATTACAATTTAGTTTTGTAAGAAGGGAAAAAAGCAAAGTTTATTGGGGAGAAAAGATTGGCCTTCAAGTTATTCTGAAGGGCTCCTTACATTTTCAAGTACATAAAATCAGAGAACCTTCCTTTCATTTAAGGTTAGCAGGTTGGGAAAAGCAAAGCTGACGGATAGGAACAAAGTGTAAACACATCTCTTATGAACAAGAGAAGGCTGGACTAATGGGCTCACAGACAGTTCTGGTACTCTGTTAATATCAAGAAGCCTGGACACACCGCTAAAGCCACAGGAAAAGGAACAAGGATTTAAGCCTTAAAGGCCTCATGCAATATTATGACTGCATAGAAGCAGAAAAGAATCACCTATCTGAAAGGTCTTAACTGCTGGCTATTCATGAAAAACATCATTAATGTGTTGAGTGTCTTTAAATATTATGAAAATCCACACAGTTATTCATAATTGTATAGTTTTATCACTCTATTAGACCCTATGGTGTTTCTCAGTAAATACTAATGAAGTATTGCATGACATATTGAATTACAAGTAACAATCTCATATCAGAACTTAAAATTTCATTCTTCCCTTTGGAAAAAAGGATAAATTAGGGTCACCTATGACAAGGGAGTCTGCATTTTTAGGCCCTGAACTTTTCAACTCATATTCTAGGAGATCCAGAATGATCACCCAGGAGGCCAGCTCCAAAGCTGGTGCCTTTACAAACATACTACCTCCATTATAAGCTGTCTGTGCTTCAGATCTGACCCAGCATTACCTGAGGAGAATGTTGACTTTGGGGAAACCTTCCCATTTCTCTCTGCATTCTGGACACTCCGTTTTCTTTGATGACACCCACCACAAAGCTAGGCAGTGCCGGCAGAAGCTGTGCCCACAGTTCAGGGTGGTGGGGTTAACCAGGATGTCATAACAGCAGTGGCACGAGAATTCACTGACAGAAATCTGAGGGCCAGTGCTTCCAAGAGGGTCATTTCTCTCTGGACCCATGATGTTTAGGTCATTTTTTTGAGGATCTTCCATCTTTCAGCAAATTCTGGGATCCACAGACATGGAAAATTTCAGACTTAGGAAACTGCTACAAAGCATCATGGAATCTAGGGGAAAAAGCAATAAAACCAGGATAAATTATTGGAGGTTACTACCACGATATAAAAATTCTAATCCTTATTTTTATTTTATCATTTTGCAGTGTTGAGGCTCAATACTAACAGGCAAGCATTCTACTACTGAGCCCCTAGTCCAAAGCTAATTTTTATTTTATTTTCATACACTTTTTTTTCTTTTAGTGCTACAGATTAAATCTAGGACCTTGCACATAGTAGGCAAGCACTGTCTTTGAACTATAGCCTCAGCCCCAAAGCTCTGACTTTTGTGTAACACAATAGATTCCTAAGAATCTACATTCCATACATTCAACACTGAATTCCTTTCTGGTCCATTTATAACACCTTTCAAAACAAGATGAAACAAAACACTGGGTGTGGTAAGGCATTTGTAATCTCAGCACTCTGAGTGGCTGAGGCAAGAGGTTCAAAAGTTCAGGTTCAGCCAGCCTGGACAATTTAAAAGAGGACTGGGGAGACATAGCTCAGTGCAAAGGTTTTGGGTTCAATCCCCAGGATGGCAAGAAAAAAAAATTTAAATTAAAAAAAATCATGAACCAAAATATAGTACAGCCAGTGGTTTAATGGACTTGGGAGTGACAATAGAGAATTCCAGATCCTTTTCTTTCCATTTCTTTTCAAAATGTAATTTCTCTGACTTCAACATTCTCAATTAAATTTCCTAAGTCTCTTGCAGGTATATGATTTTAAATGACCAACTTCTCGGGCCAGCAAAATATACAACAGTGGATTGTCAGTATTTTATAAACATTTGATTTAAGGGGCTTTAACTGGAACAATTCCAGAAAGTGAGCAGTTTTATTTTTCAGTGCCCTGTGCCAAGCCAACCCACTCCCATTCCTTAAAATATCTCCCACCCCAGATTAACTCAAACATACATATGGTACCCACTTTGGTAATTTGGTGCCACAGAAATGTATTAATGCCACTTTTTGTTTGTCTGTAGACAAGATCTCATTATGTAGCCCAGGCTGGACTCCAACTGTTAGTGATCATCCCATCTCAGCCTCCCAGAGTACTAGGATTATAATGTGTGCCACCATGCCCAGCTAAAACACTGCTATTTAACGACCATCTCTTACTGAGCGAGGTGCTTGAGATATATTCATGTAACATCTGGATTCAGTGTACAAGGAATGATACAGAGACTGTGGGCAAGATTGGATTTAACTTGGACAGTATTTTCACTGAAAATTGCTGAATGACATAGCTGAGGATCCAGGTCTGACTTAGGGTCTTACCTGGTAAATTAATGCGAGGTAGACAGGATGTGGGAGCATAGATCAATAGATAAAACAGACAGATAGATTGACCGGCAAAGAAGACAGCAAAGCTGTGCTTGGAGAATAAATCTCATTGTGAAGGAAAGTAGGGTGGACACACAGGGTAATTATGGACAAGTTGGAAATGAGGTTTTATTACTTCACTTTCAAAATGCAGGGCTAGAGGTGTACTCTGTAATACGACACTAGACTACCACATGATTGCCATGTGTTTGATTCTCAGTATCATAGAAAACAAAACAATAAATAAAAAAATGAAAGAAAGGGAGAAATCTTTTTTTTTTTTTTGGTATCAGCAATCAAACTCAGGATCTTGCACTTGCCAGGCAGATAGTGTACCACTGAACTAAACCCCAAACCCTAAATCCTGAAGAAGTTAAGGATATCATTTAGTGATGTAAGAGAATGATCAAAAATACTGGCTAGGGCTTAGAACCAGGGAAGAAATACTGTACTGATAGAAACTAGGTCATTATTTGGGGAACCACCCTGATCACTCTTCTCAAAGAACAAATGTCACCATTTTGGACAAATTTGGCCCTATCTCCATGTATAGATATGTACAGAGCTAACTAGGCTATTTCTTTGTCTCTTCAATTGGCTTTAAGATATGTAAATTAGGCTGGCTGAGGAACTGATGTATAATCTCTGAAGCAATGAAACAGTTGCTGTTTCCCTGCCCAGTGACTCCCAGAAAACCATCATTGAGTCTTTTAGGATGGAGAGCTTCACTTCATTATTTATTCTTCAAGATATGCTTAAAGCAAGGTATTGTTTAATTGTCATTTATTTATTTATTATAGTGGGGATTAAACTCGTGACTTCATGCTTATCAGCCAGGCACTTATACCACTGAGCTAAATCTCCAGCCCACATATTTATTTTTCTATCAGTGTATAATGTTTCCATTCCTTATGTGGAGTTGAAACATGTAACACAGCTTATATTCTTTATAAGAACATAATTCTATAAATAGAATTATAATTATATAGATAATATAATGTATATTATTTCTTCCCTGCCCATCTCTTGATCTCCTTTCCATTTGAGAAAGCTGTCTCCCTCCTTCTTAACTGTGTGGACTTTGATTACTGTATAGTTGTTAAGTTTCATTTTCCCCTAAATTCAAACACTGAAAGTTAACAGAGAAAGAGAACACACCCTTTTGTGCTCTCTCACGTGTTCTGGGGTTATTTACACTAAAGAAAGCAGTACTTTCAAAGAGCAAAATGCCTCTCAATGATAGAATCTAGCTCAGGCGTCAGTATTCTGAGCAGGGTGAACACACCCCGCTGCCCTGGCAATGCTTAAAGGCCTCATTGAGCAGAAGGCCACTGTCATTGGGTTTGACATTTATAGCTGTTCTCTGCAAACATGGCCAGCTTGGCAGCAGACTGAAGCCACGAAGCAACTCCCTGGCTATCCCTGAGCTTCTACCCAGGGAAGCAAGCATGTGTTAGAAAGCCTCTCTGTTATCATCTTTTCTCTGGTCTTCCCTTTGTCTCAACAGCACTGGAGCAAACTAGAGAGAGTGGTCAGGGTTAGGAGAATCACTCCATTCTCACCCCTATGGCCCCTTCACATAGACACACATCTGTTTATGAAACAGCAACGTGCTAATTACCCAGTTCAAAACTAATAGGAAGAATGTCTGAGTTTGGGAAAGTCAAGAAAACAACAAACAGAAACAAGTCTAAAATCACAGGTTGAACACTTTAGGATTGCAGAGTGCAGCAAAACCTCAAGCATTCCCATAGAGACTGAGTCATTTAGAAGGGCTGGGTTTCTGAATAAAAGGCTGGGTCTGCAACTGAGGCCTGGAGAGGTCTTCAGGTAAGAACTCCAGGTCTCCCTGTACGAACACAAACTGTGCGATTCCTGGAGGCAGTTTTCACTGGGCTTTCAGAAGGCATCATGGCCCAGGTTAAGAACTACTGAGTACCTACTGGAACAAAAGATTCGTTCCGTACTAAACTCTCCTGTACGATGAAGTGGTTGGAATGGATCCAGCCAGCTTTTCAGTGCCGGAAGTATCCATCTTTCATGTCCTGGACAGCATTGCCATCAGCAGCTGCCACCCTGCTGGCGTAACAGCTGGCCTGCAGGCAGGCTTTCTTGCACTGGGTGTTTTTTTGTTTGTTTGTTTGAGATGAAGTCTCACTGTGCTGCCCAGGCTGCCCTCAAACTCCTGGGCTCAATTATCCTCTGCTGCCTCCCAAGTGGTTGGGACTATAGATGTGTACCAGTGAACCTGGTTCCTTCCCTTCCCTCACCTTAATTAGTCCTGGGTATTGACCCCAAGACTTTCCCACTAAGCCACATCCTCAGTTTTCTTTTTATTTATTTATTTGTGACAAGGTGTTGCTGTGTAGTTCATACTGGCCTTGAGTTCGAAGGGTCCTCCTGCCTTAGCCTCCAGAGTGCTAGGATTACAGACATGCACCACCATTCCCTGCTGTTTTAAATTTTGAGACAGGGTCTTGCTAAGATGCCCAGGTTAGGCTCCAACTTGTTACCCTCCTGCCTTAAGCCTCCCAAACTGTTGTATACCTATACCTCCAGCTTGACTTTTATTTTTTAACTGAATTTGGTCCTGACACTTTTAAAAAATTGGATTTCATGTAAAAACCTAGATTTCTGACTTCCCTTGAAAAAACAATCAGAAAACATGGCCACATTGATGGCCACATGTCCTACATGGGCCAGAGCCAAAGTATCAGGAGCTGTCCTCTCACCTGGGGCCACTGCTGTGACTGCTCATCATTCACCTGTTCCTGGTTTCTGTCACTTGCCTAATCCCTGAGTTTTCATCCCATCAATACTGTGATGCTTTCAGAGTCCAAACAGTATAGTTTCTAGTTGAACTGGCCTTAAGCCTGCCAGCTTCCCGAGTTCTGCCAGTTGTTACGTTTTCCTGCCTTGGTCTATTTCAAGGCTTAGGCTGCTGAGAATGTTGGTGCCTGTGTGAGGTCTCCAGCACCATTAACTGCCCCACTTCTGCTTTAGAGTGGGAGCCCAGAGAACCGTGCTCTGCAGACTATATATGAAAGGCAGGGACCACTTCTACAAGGGCACAATACATTCTCATCACAGTATAGCTTCTGATGACTTAGGCACCTCCAACGTATCTATCAACATGACCTCTTCTGTTTTCCTAAAGACATACCCAACTGACAGGGTATAGTTACCTGAGAATCATGAAAGAAAAGACAGGGACACAGTCTCCCAGTGATGCTATGGAAGTAAAGAAGCTGGATATAGCCTTCTTTGGAAGGAAAATTTTTCTGGCTTAGTAGAAAACTTATCCATAGGTTAATGTGCAGGACAACCATCCAGGACGGGATAGCACTATCATGACCTGTTTGTTTCTTTAGTCACAGATGTTAAGGAAGTCACCACCATTGAGGACAGTTAACATAGTAATTTCCAATGACTTTACTGAAAGAGATGTATTGGTTCTGAATTTAAGTTAAGAATTTTTGTATCTTAGCTTAAAAATCTCATTGTATAATGATTATTAACTCTTTAGAAATTGTAATTTTTTTTTTGAGACAGGGTTTTACAGGCTGGTCTTGAATTCACTTTGTGGCTCAGGCTGGCCTCAAACTCACAGCAATCTTCCTGCCTCAGCCTCCAAGTGCTGGGGTTATAGGCATGCACTGCTAAGCCTGTAATCTTTAAACTGCTTGCTTCAGCAGTATAATAGTTCTACCCTTCATTCAACATATGTTCCTATTATTTTAGTAATAATCCTTTTAAGGGTTAATTTACTGAGGTTCAGCTTGAACATATATGATCTCCATTTCTTTGCAAAGATGTTCACTGCAAAAATAAAAAGATTCTGGGCTTGGAATGTGGCTTAGTAGTACAGTATGTGCTTACATGCTCAGAGCTCTGGGTTCAATTCCCAGCACCCTGGGGAAAAAAAAAGTATTTTGGCTTCTTTGGGCCTCTAATTAGGCTATTTCTTTTTATTATATATATATATCTGATAATAGAGATAACAACTTCTAATATTTATTGAGCCTTTATAGTTTGAAAGTGCCAATAACCCTATGAAGTATTAATAATAATTCCCATTTTTCAGACATGATAATAGAAGCAGGTAAAGGGCAGAGCCAGGTTTTAAATCACTGTCTAACTTTAAGCCTGCCTTCATAAAGGTATTAACCCCAATGAAGTAATATTATTAGTTCAAAGCACTGATGAACTCTTTTATTATCTAGGCCCCATAAAAGAGCTGTTACTGTACAGCTGAGAAAAACTAGGATCGGGCAACACTGTTTTGGAACAAGATTCCAGCTGGTAGCTGTTAGGGTGAGCACGCTATTCTATGCAGACATTCACAGCAAAAAAACAGGGAGGAAGTGAGTGGGAAATTACTATTTCTGGCACAGCAGGCCTACTCCTGGGGATACTATAAACACTGGCGGACACTTCAGACATTATTAAATGTCCAAAGTGTGTCCATCCATTTCCAGAGACTGTGAAACAAAAGCAAATGTGCCCAAATGTGAAAAAAATGTCAAAAATGGCAGTAAGAACACAATATTAGTGTACTTCCTGCAGGCAGCAAAACTGGCTCTTACATTAATACAAGAGAAGCACTCTATAAAACCTTTTCTTTTTCCCATTCCAGAAAGATTTTTTTGGACAGGGTCAGAAATCACCAGAACAAAGGTAGCTAGCTCTTTTGGCTACTGACTTGCTGCCTGAACTTTGAAGCCCAGTGATTTATTGCGTTGGTTGACATTGGCCAAATGAGGGCAGAATAAGAAGGGAACCCAGGTTCTCTTTGTGCCTGTGCTCTTGCACGTGTTATGTGGCAGATATTCAAGGACTGTCCCTGTACTCAACTTTGTATAACTTCAACAAATCAGAAAGCTTTACTACAGCGGTTACCAAGTAAACACATACCTTAACTACTAGTTTAAGATATTCCATTTTTAAGAATGGGGGAATATGTACTTACTATGTGCAAGGTCGTGGGTTCCATCCTCAATACAACAAAAACATTCAGGTACGATTCAGTATTACTCAGTATCCTTTTCAGATTCAGTACACTCATACTTTTTACACACTTTTGGTTCAGACATGTCTTTGCCTTTCCAGTCAAAACCTGGGCTTTTTGTGGCCAGGAACCAAGCCACTGAATTCTATCTTTGTGCTTGACAGTGACTGGCACAAAGTGGGGCTCTAGATTTCCAACCACAGATCAACTCAATAACATTTGACTCCTTATCACAGTATCTCTTAACAACTTGGTGAGAATCACCTAGGGAGTTTGGTGGCCCTGAACCAGGAAGTCTGGGGCAAGGCTAAGAAATGCAGTGGTCCCTTGGTGTCCCTGAGGCACTGGTTCTGCGACGCACCACACCAAAATCTCAGGGCATTTAAGTCCCATATGTAAAATGGCATAGTATTTGCATATAGCCTGTGTGCATCCTCCTTAAATCACTTCCAGATTACTTAAAATAGCTATACAATGTAAGTGCCACGTAAATAGTCATTATTCAAGTTTTGCTTTTTGGAGCTTGCTGGGATTTTGTTTTTTTCAAAATTTTTGGCCCATGGTTGACTGAATTCACACATATGGAATCTCAGGATATGGAGGGGTGACTTCTTTGTTTTTGGAAACAGACTCTCACTATGTAGCCTAAGTTGGCCTCAAATTCATGACCTCCTTTCTCAACCTCCCATATACTATAATTACAGGGGTGCATCACTACCTGACTGTACATTTTAAACAAATCCTTCAAAAAATTATTATGTGCAGTGTAGTCTAATACTTGAGAGCTCATATCTCAGACAAGGTACAAAAAGAAGTTTAAGTAACACTTCAAATCCTCTTCTTACCAGTCCTTTTCTTTAGTGCCTAAATCATCCTTTCAGAGCAAAAGTCCCCTCAAGCCCCTCCTTTGCTCAAAAACTTCCAGTGCCATAAGAAAACAAAAATCCAGTCCTAAACTAGTGGTTGAAGACCAGCTAGCAATTCACATAACTTTCGTTTCAGTGCTAGGGATTGAATTCAGGGCTTTCTGCATGCTAAGCACATACTTCACTACTGACCTATACCCTCATCCTCAGTCAAAATAACTTTTTAAATTATTGCACAAACTCCACGGCCAGAATGAGTGAGTTAAAAATCCCAGGTCAACCAACTATTAACTGTATGGCTGTAGGCAAGTCACTTACCTTTTCTTACCTCAGTTGCTTATTTGTAAAATGAGGATATTAATAGTTACCCGCCTAATAGGGATGTTAATAACCTTGAAAGGCTTAAAATCATTATATGCACAGCAATGAGAATCATGCTGGCAGGCAGCAAGTACCATGAAATCATTAGCTAATACCATTACCATGATTTTCCTCTCTTGTTCTCTGTTCACATACTACAGGATAGTCCCATTTACTAATTTCTGCTCTTTGGACATTTTTCCGTATTTTCACATTGTTCCCTCCATACCATCTGAGTCAAAAGTGTCTACTGACAAGAGTCATCTCTGTTTTTAAATACTAACTCCTCCACACTGAAATTAATCTTTCCTGCTTCTGCAACATTTGTGTATGGATTCTCATCTCTAGGGGCCAGAGATTTAGCTCAGCGGCATAAGCACCTGCCTGACAAGTGTGACGTTGTAAGTTCGCTCCCTGGTACCACCAAAAAAAAAAAAAAAAAGTTTCTCATCTCCTGGACTACAGTTTCCTTGGAGAAGCCGGTAGAGTTGAAACAACATAGTCTTAGAAGTGAGTCCAATATGGTTTCCAAACCAGATCACCATTCTTTCTTGAGCCCCGTATAGACTGCACGGTCGACTGGTATTAATAATAGAATTTCCTGAGTGCTATGTAGCTAGTGCTAGTGTCAACACCGGAGGAAAAAAGTCAGCCCTGAAGGGAAACACAAATGACACAACTGCCCTGGAGACGTACAGTTTTTCAATCAGTAGATGGAAAAGCCCAGAGCAAAAGCACAGATCAGGATGTATTCAGGCTATTTACAAAACCGCAAGAACAAAATGCTATTGGCACGTGCAGGGTGCCCTGGTTCTGTGGTGTGCCTGAGGATGAGTGTAAAGCTTCTCCGTATTGGCCTCTCTGGGTGTGACGCTAGGGCCACCCCAAAGGACCGACCAATGATGGGCTTCGGTGGGGAGGACCCAACCCCGCAGACAGTTGGGGATATTACCGCATCTGGGATATCACTTTCTTTTCTACCAAAAATGTATCTGGGGGTGCCCTCCTTCCCGGTCAGAGATCCCCAATTAGACATAACTTGAGTCATTCCCACACTTCTTTTCTTTTTTAATGAAACAAAACTCCCTTTTGCACATGTTTTAGGTTTCTGAGCCGTGAGGCTGGGATTCTAGCCCAGCCTTTGTAACTGAGTTTCATTTTTCCTTTCTGTCCTTCCCTTATCATTTTTAACGAGGGAGACAATCATACCGCCTCCAACAGACCATGATCTCAACCTGGTGTCTATCAGGGCCCCGATCAATTTAGCAGGGCTTTACAGGCTGTGGCCAGCGCTCCTGGCGGGCAGGAGCCCCTCGGTCCCTCTGATAGGTAGAAGCGACACTCCCCACCCCCCGGCCTGAGGAGCCCCGGGAGCTAACGAGTCTGGCCCTGAAACCCGGAGGACAGCCGCGTAGAGATGGTGTTGGGAAGAGATGGAGAAGTCGGCCAAGCTGGGGTTCTGTATCCAGCAGCCAGGACGGAGCTGCCCAGAACCCGGGCCCGTGCAAGAAAAACCCGCGTGCCTCCTCCAACTCCGCCAGAGCGGCTCAGCCGAGGGAACCCCGATCCATCTTCCACACCATGCCCTGAAACTAAGCTGCCCGCTAGTCAGCAATCCCCCGACGCGTCAAAGCTCACCATTCTTTCCATCCCGAGTCCTACCCGGCCATCGCCCCCCACACGAACACCCGCGAAAGAGGAGGGGGAGATGGCGACTTCACTTCCGGAGGTAAACGAGGAGGGCGTGTGGAACTCGCCCTTTTCCCGCGACCATAGAGGAAAGGCCGCACTCGTTTTCAAACCCCTCAACTCTGCGACCTCCTCGCTGCCTAGAGGGGCCGCTCCCGAGTGGCAGACGTGAGCGCATGCGTACAACCGCTGACCCCGCCTTTTCCTAGTCTTTGAGGAACCGAGAGCTCAGGAGTTACCGCTTGAGGCGAAGGAGGGTAGCTGCTTGACACTTAACTACTCCTGCGAGGCCAGGAATTAAAAGATTACAAGACTACAGTGTGTTATTTACAGTTTTTCCTCCTACATTTTATGCAGAAAGTCACAGAACAATGGCTAAAGTTGAATTTTACAGTGTTGACCGTTTTGAAATCAAAATGACGTTATCACTACGTCCTCTCGTCTTTCCCACTGTGTTTGAGACTATGGAGAACTCAAATTGATACTTGTTTTAAACCTTCTCGAGAGTGTCTAATTGCTAATTTGAGGTGACTTTTTCTCCACCTATAAAATTGGTAAAGATTGGTAATAGTCTGTGCGAGCGCAGTTGGTGTAAACTCATTTTCTGGAAGATAATCTGGGGTCGGGGATTTAGCTCAGTGGTATAAAGTGCCTGTCGGCAAGCACGAAGAAGTCTAAGTACGAATCCCAGTACCAAAAAAAAGGCAGTAGGTATGCAAATGCAGTAAACTGTTCAGTGTTAGATTAGGTGAGATTGTATTCCCAGCACTCGAAGATTGAGACCTAGGATCATCACCAGTAAAAGCAAGATCCTGTCTCAACAAAACAAAAAACCCTGTTGGTTGGTTTTGTTTTGTTTTGGGTACTTGAAATTGAGCCCAGGGTCTTAGTGCTAAATTACATGCCCAACCCTTTAAAGATTTTTAATTTCGATATAGGATCTCAGTCAATAAATTGGCCAGTCTGGGGCAAGAGTAATAAGGTGGGCTAGGCCCATTTAGCTTTAATAAAACTTGTTTTTCCAACTTTTAGACAGATATTCCCTAAATAAGTAGTCCCCAATTTTTTTGGCACAAGGGGCCTAGTTTCATGGAAGACAGTTTTTCCGGGGTAATGTAAGGGATAGCGTATGACAGTAGGTACAGATGCAGATTTGTGGCCCAGTTTCTAACATGCTACAGACCAGTACCAGTACCAGAACATGGCCTGGCGGTTGAGGACCCCTCCCCTAAATGACTAACATGCCTCTACTGCTGAGAAGGATTTGACCCATGGTTTTATAACACCAAGGTCAAATTTTGTTCTGTTAGTTACCTATTGGGTGTTTGTAAGTCCACGTGAAGAGTCACAATTTTAGCAAAACTACTTTATTATTTTTTTTTTCTTGGTACCAGGGATCGAACTCAAGACCACTTGCTTGCAAGGCAGGTGCTTATGCCGCTGAGCTAAATCCCTAGCCCCTAGCAAAACTACTTTAAAGTCCCTGATTGCCGTAAGAGAAAACACAAACTACACTTTTGATGAATAAGTGGTAAAGGGTCCCGACGTTTCTCCATTCCTATGCTGGTCTTTGTATTGTTATTACATCACTTTGCTCTCTCTGATCACCTAAATAACCCTCCAACCCCAGTTATTCTCTATTACCACACCTTCTTCTTTTTCTCCATAGGATTTCCAAATGGTAAGCCTGGTTTGGGTCCTTCTCCTTCTTACTCCAAGTTTAAGCTCCAGTGGGGCAGGAACCAGGCTTTTGCATTCATCAGTGTATCTCTACCTCTATTAGAGTGGCACATACTGTACAAGGAGCCCAGTAAATAGTTGTTGACCAACTAGACGTCAAGACTGCATATTTTTCCTAGCGAATGCCTGCCTAAATCAGGCCCCACCTTGGGGACTTGAGAGCCATAACCCTCTTTGAGGGCAGGAAGGAGTGAGAGGACCGGTTTTGGCCCCGCCCCCGAGCCTGACGCAGGCGCTGACGCAAGCGCAGCGGGCGCGCAGGCTGTTTCCGGAAGTCGCGCCGGCCGTGTGTTCTTTTACAGTCCCCCCTGGGCTGTTGCCTCTGCCTCATCGGAGGCCAGCACGGTAGCTACGGAACCCTGAGAATAGAACTGCTGAGGCGAGCCTAGGCGGAGCCGGGGTTCCGGCCACTCTGAAGAATGGAGATAATTAGGAATAGTGCGTGTCCGCGGCGCACCTCCCCGCATCCCCATGACCACCTGCTAGGCCCGGACCAAGACAGCGAGTTTGGCAAGGCTCGGAGTCAACTCAGCCCGTGCATTCTTGGGGTCTTGTTCCTTTGCAGAACGTGTACTTCCAGGACCCTTGGTGTATTGCAGCCGGGACCCACGGGGCCTCGTTTCCCTCTGGCCTACCCACCCGCCGGCGAGTTGACTCCTCCTGGCCGGTGCACCCATTGGGGACTTGACTTCTTAAGAACCTACACACCTCTGGGAGGTGTCTCTATTAGCCAGCGACCTGAGGCGGTCCTCCGCCCTCCTTTCCTCTCTCCTTAGAAGTCCATGGGCAGAAAGCCAGGTCTCGGTTTCTGAGCTTCTTTTCCGTCTCTCCACAGATTTTAAGAGTAACCTTCATAAAGTGTACCAGGCCATAGAGGAGGCAGACTTCTTCGCCATCGATGGGGAATTTTCAGGTATCCCTTCTTTGCAAGCTCGGGGCTAGCACCTTGCAAGAAATAGCGCAGTCTCCTTCAGCTGCCTCCTTTCCATCTCCGGGTTCCCTAACTTCTCGCCCTCCTCGCTCTTTATGGCTTTGTGTAGTACAAGCTGCTCCTCGCTCTTTATAGCCTTGTGTAGTACAAGCCTCAGCGTTTCATCCTAAACGTTTTCAAAAAACTTGGAAGAGATGCAGTGGTTTTGTGATTGATCAGGCTGAGGTTGGGGACAGAGATTAATAGAGACACCTCCCAGAGGTGTTCAGGTTCTTAAGAGGTCAAGTCCCCAGGGGTGCTGCTTAAAACAATTTACATGTAAATGGTAGAAAGGTTGAGGTTTAGGGCCAGAACTGTGCGTTTTCACTTTCTTCAGCCCTGTCAGGCGCTATTTGTCTCTATGAATTTGACTACTGTAGTCAGCTGTCATAAGTGGAATCATACAATATTTGTCCCTTTGTGATGGGCCAGGGTCAGGATTTTGCATGTAAATGAGTATATTCCTTTATACAGTATGAGGTGTTAGCTACCTCAACAGGTGTGTTTGTGTAACCCCGTCTCCCTTGAGCTCCTAGGGCAGTGATAGTGAACCTTTTAGAGCTTTTAGTGATTTCAGATTACCTCTGCACGGTCTCATAGGTTCCCTACCATTCTCCTAGGAGATAGCAAATCCAAGCCCTTACCTGGGCTTTGTGGATAGTATGCAGGCACTACCACTGAAGTATATCTTTAGCCCCAAATTAGTACTAACTTTGAAAAAGTGAGGCAGGGAGCACTTTTATTGAGTCTTCTTAAGAATTTGAAGTTGTAGCGGTGGCAAGTGATTGACATTGTACTAATATTAAATTAAAAACTTGTATCTTAAAATCTAGGAATCAGTGATGGACCTTCAGTCAGTGCCCTGACAAATGGTTTTGACACTCCAGAAGAGAGGTATCAGAAACTTAAGAAGGTAAGTGAATGCTTGAAAGCCTTCCCCTCCAACATGGGTCCTCGTGTTGAATTATAGAGAAATAATTAAATTTTCACAATAAAGAAGTGTAGCAGTTCTCAACCCCACATACAAAATGATGTTTTAATTATGTTTAAAAGAACAGCAAAAATAATTGTTTGCTGGAAAAGCATTTTGAGGGATGATTATCATTTTCAATGTTAATTTGATCTATGGGGCAATAATGTTATTTTAATAATTTTTTAATTTTAACAACTTGAAAGTTTATAGGTGATACTTGATGATGATGAAAAGTACTTAGTTGGGAAAATTAAGAAATGAATGTAAATTAATAATGCCTCTGATTCATAATCTGTATAATCTGTTTTAACTGGAAGTATTCTGCCAAAGTCAAGTTGAATGATGCAGAAAGGCCACCTGCTTGGGAACACTATTGCTCATGTTGAATTTACAGCAGTATTGTGACAGATGTTTTATTTCCCTTTTCCAGCATTCCATGGACTTTTTGCTGTTTCAGTTTGGCCTTTGCACTTTTAAATATGACTGCACAGATTCAAAGTAGGTTTTTAAAAATAAGAGGTGGGAATTGTTTCACTGTGGCATAGTGTAACTCCCTAACTCTCTTTTGGTGTTGTCTTCTCAGGTATATCATGAAATCATTTAACTTCTATGTTTTCCCGAAACCCTTAAATAGATCCTCACCTGATGTCAAATTTGTTTGTCAGGTTAGTAATATATTTGGATTTTTCTTATGAATTGTCAATGAAGCAGTGTGGAAATGTGGAATCAGAATTCTCTTTAAAATTTGGTTCTACTACTAACTTTGGGCCTTGACACATTATTTCCCATCTCTGATGTCCAATTTTAGGTGTGTAAGTTAATGACACCATTATCTTTCCCTTTACTTTAGAGTGTGTTAAGGAGTAAGATATAAAGACAGGCTGATGGAAACCAGAATATAAACTTCATGATTAACAAAGCTGAATTTTCCAGGCAGGGTTGTGCATACCTGTAGTCCCAGCATTTGGGAAGCTGAGACAGGAGGATCGCTGTAAGTTTGAGGCCAGCCTGAACTACTTAAATGAACTGAACTACATAGCAAGACTCTTTCAAAAAATCAAAAAAACAAAAACAAAAACCAGAGTTTGAGAATATGGCTTATAATATAATGTGACTCCATTTGGGGATTTTGGTGTCTTGTATCTAAATTGAATACATCAGGACTTTGTAGGCTTCTCCCTGTCTTTTTTTGCACTCCTTTTTGAAGTGGAACTTTATTTTCTGAAGAGCAGAATATTTTGTAGCCTACAAAAAAAGAGCCCAGAAGGAGCTAAACTACTTAATGCCTTGGTCGTTTTCCTCAAACCTTCAGTTAGGAAAGAGGAGGCATTTATAGATTTTCATTGGGACAGAATAGGCTGTTTGCAAATTCATGTGTATTTGGTTTTCCAGTTGTGCAAGGAACAGAAAATTACTTAAAGTGACCAGGGGCTAATTAAGCAAAAGCAGAGTGGCAATAAGACACCATGCTGCTTTGTTCTAAAAGACAGCACAAATACAGTTATTTTGAGAAATGTTTGGAAGTGTTGGGAACAGATTAGAAGGTCTCTACCCACTGTATAAGTCATGACTTGGTGACATCTGGAAGAATTAATGCAGTTGTAGTTGCCGGCCACTCTTTAGAAAAATAATATTCTTTAAGGTAGCCCAGAGAACAGTATCTAAAGTGGACAAAAGAATAATGGCATTGGAATTCTCTAGTCTGAAGTGACAAAGAAACAGCAGAAAAAAGGTTGGATTCAGTGTTTACACTTGTGAATCCTATGGATCAGATATGTTCTCTTTGGATTTCATTTTGTCCCTCATTGAATGTGGTTTTATTTGAATTGTATGACTGTAGCAGAGTTGCATGTTATGGTCTTGCAGAGGAGTTAGGTTCCTGAGTCAGCAAGTAGATGAAAATATTTCAAAATCACTTTCCAGGAATGCTTTTCACTCATAGAGTATGTAGGATTTAAGAGTAAACAAATTTACTGTGTTCTTTGAAAAGTAAATATCTGTACATATTTTGAGATACACACCAAGGTGGGGGGGGGTAGAAAGACAAACCTGCACGCATCCAGGGGCATATGCTTGTGGGGTAGAATGATACGCAGAATTGCATGGCACTTAGATGATTTTTGTCTCCTTTTTGTTCTCTTCTTCTTCTCTTTTTTTTTTTTTTGTACCTGGAATCAAACTCAAGTAGGCATTGTGCTGCTGAGCTATATCCCCAGCCCTCTGTGTCTTCTTTTTCTACTCTTCTTCCGTTTCCTGATTGAACACTTATAATTGAATTCATATAAAAAGATGCATAGTGGTGGAAAATTAAAATATTGATGTTGTGTATAGAGTAACAAGTACCTTTCTTTCCATAGACCTTTTTCCCCATGTCACTTCTTGCTGCTTTTTCCTCTTTTGCTGTTGCTGTTTCTGTTTCTTTTTTTTCTTGAGACAGGGTCTTGCTATGTAGTTCAGTCTGGCCTTGAACTCATTGTGAAGCCTCAGTCTCCCCTAGTGCTGGGATTTACAGGCATATGCCACCATGCCTGGCTTCTTTTTTCCATTTTGTTTTTGAGACAGGATCTCACTATAATATAATTCAGGCTGGCCTTGGATTCATTATGTAACTCAGGTTGGCCTTGACCCCACCACAATCCTGCCTCAGCTTCCCAAGTGCTGGATTGTAGGCATGTTGTCACCACACCTGGCTCATTCCTTTTTTCTAGTTTTTTTAATATGTATGTGTACATATAAGTATATGTTTATACATATACTTAATTTTAGAATTTTCCTTTAATATATCTACTGTTCATATTTTACATAAACTTGCAATTTCCATTTGGTATAATGTGTTCCTATTTCATAGTATGAATATGTATAATTTATTTAAGCAGTTTTAATTTGGAATTTAAAGGGTCTCCACTGGTTATAAATAGTACTGTAATCAACATCTATGTGCAATTGATCTTTTTGTATATGATCTTTTTGATAGATGCCTCAAATAATCCTCCAGAATAGCTATGCTCATTTTTTACATCTTGAGAAAGGTACATTTAAGACACTTAAAAGAGGATGGTAAACTACAAATAGATTTTGTTGGTTCAGTGGATTTAAGTGTAAAATATAATATGTATCATGCTAGTCGTTTTCAAGTGTATATTTAAGTGATATTAAGTATATTGATATTACTGTGAAATCCAAAGACTATTATTTCAACTGAAAAAAAAACACCTTCAAAAAGAGAATTGATGAACTTGGATGCTGAATTTAATAGAATAGAGGATGTTTTGTAATTTAATATGGGAAAGACAAAAATGATTTTGTATAATTTATCTTTCAGTCCCTCTCTCTCAAATAGGGTATTTAGGTGAATCTAATTGTAAGAATACTCGGCATGGCAGACAAAAAAAGAGGTTAGGAAGCCAAGTGCAAAGATCTTGGGTCTTAATTCAAGACAAAAAAAAAAGAGTGGGAATGGAAAGAAGGGCTGATTGTTATAAACTAGAAAACTTGGACAGAATGATAAATGATTTACATGTATCCGTGTGTGTGTGTGTGTGTGTGTGTGTGTGTATCTGTAGTAAGATTTTTTTATACTCCATCATATTTTATTTTAACTAATTTTTGCAGTTCTGGGATTCAACCCAAGATTGGGCCTCGTACATGCTACGCAAGCACTCTTAATACCGAACCCTTTCATCATGTTTTAAGAGGGTTTGTGTTTGGCTAATATTCATATATTTACTTTTTTTGTAAGATTTAAGAAATAAGTAAATGAGAAATTGAGCTAAAAGGAAAATATGGCTACTGTGGTATGATCAGAACACAGGATTTGTGCCAAAGAGAGATTCAGCTATTTACCCCTGGGCTTCCTAATAGCTAAGAGGAAAGTGTAGCCTCAGGTCGGTGGTCCAAAAGATCCAGGCAACCCAGGACTCAGGAGAATGCCTTCCCAGAAGAGAGCCCTTAGACTGTTTGTCCTGGAATTATCATAAAGAAACCATTGATGTGGGTATGTGCTGTGTTCTTTGGGACTATTTGTTTGTTTATTTGTTTTTATTGGTACGGGGGTCTAACTCATGACCATGCGCTTGCAAGGCAGGCGCTTATGCCGCTGAGCTAAATCCCCAGCCGCTGTTTTGTTTTGTTTTTAGGCAAGGTTTCACTATATGGTTCAGGCTGGTTTTGAATTCACTTTGTAACCTAAGCTGGCAGATTTGTGGCGATCCTCCTGCCTCAGCCTCCCAGAGTTCTGAGATGTTAGGTGTGTGCCACCGGAACTGTTTATTACAGTGTCCTTTCATTTAGGCCAAGGATTAGATGTTTGAAGTCCAGGTCAGTAAAGATAGTTCTATGAGGGACCAGATTAAAATGAGTTGGGAATACAGTCTGCTGATGTCCTGATTTTAGCCAAGAATAAATCTACGTAGCTACAGTAGTCTCTTTGATCAGTTGGAGTAAGAACTTCATGTTGTGGTATGCTTGTGTACCATGTGTAATATTATTTACTTAATGTTTTTATTTATATACTTGTATATTTCAGCTTATCCTGAGTTTAAAATGTTTGTGTGATAAGCCTTGTCCTTGGGAACATTTTTCTCTTGATTTTAAATTTTAAGAACATTCAAAGCTGATTGTGGTAGCACATGCCTATAATCTCAGAACCCTTGGAGACTGAGGCAGGAGGGTTACAAGTTTGAGCTCACCCTGGGTGTTTCAATGATTTAGTGAGACCTTATCCCAAAATTAAAAAAGAAAAGAAAAGAAAAAAAAAAGATGAGGGTGCTTGGGATATAGTTCAGTGAGAAAGCCCTGAGTTCAATCCCCATCACTCACAAAACAAACGAAAAACCAGCATCCAGTTAGAATTTTGAGTTTTCAATGTCTAATTTGATATTGTATATTCATTCTTAGAAACTCTGAGCTGCCTGATACTTGTACTAAGTCTCTTATTCAGCATAGCAATCAGGAAATTAAAACCTTTCTGCCAAATGGAGAATATCTGTTCACTCAATGGATTTTTAAAAATACTGTAAAACAGAAGATGTTGGTTTATAAGGAGAGGCAGCTGTGGGTAGAAACCTCTTGTCTTCTGAGCTTGCTTTCTTGCCTGGCTGTCTTTGGGTTTACTTGCCCAAGTTACTGCTCTACCTGTGTTCGCGTACCTGTCACTAACATCACTGAAATGTGTTCTCTTGTTTCAGAGCTCCAGTATTGACTTTCTAGCAAGCCAAGGATTTGATTTCAATAAAGTATTTCGCAATGGTAAGATTATGTGTCCCTTATCTTTAGAATTTATAAACCTTCAGAAGTAAATCTGGATTTGGTTGATAATTAATATTTTGTGTCTGCTATATGGGATAGAAATTTAGAGTTCCAGGACACTGTTAGAATTTTTTGAAACTCTTTCATCATGACTTTTAACCAGGACAACCATGAACTGAGCAGGAGGATGGATGCTACTTCATTGAGTGAAAATGAGGCCTCCCAAACTCCTGAATTTTATGGACTACAGTTTATTCTACTACTAGTGTAACCTAGATACCTAATTAATCACCTGTGGGGACTGCTTCCCTGTTTTCTTCAAATATGACAAGTAGATCAATTCCAGTAATACTATCATGGGTGTGCATCCTTTCTGTCCCCTATATTTTTTATTGGTGTATATTGGTTATACAGATTGATAGGTGTCATTTTATCAGATTTTTATGTGTACATAACATATTTTAACCATTTCCCACCTACCCTCACCCCCATTACCCACCCTACCCCCTAATTTTACACTTTTGGGAGAATTTCAGTGTATATTGTATAGTTAGATCACATTCATCCATCATAGTTTTGGGGAATTTCAGTGTGTATGATACAGAGATCACATTCATTGTATTACTTCTCTTGTACCCATCCCTTTCCCCCTCCTTTATTTATTTATTTTTTTGAGACAGGCTGTATTTGCCAAGGCTGGTCTTGAGCCATTGTTCTCCGTTAGTCCTGCTGCCTCTGTTTCTCAAGCAGCTAGGACTACACGTGTGTACCACCTTGTCCAGTGAAAATGCCCCTTTCAATCGATGTTTATTTTGTATTTGGAAGCAGCTTCTTCATTTCTCCTGATAGAAAGAAACTTTACTTAGTGCGAATGATTGGGATGGCCAGTCTGCTAGTGGCTTGAACTGAATTATTTTCAAAAATTGTGTTTTCTTTCCATGGTAGGTGTGGAATTAATGAGCAAAGTAAGGAAAGAGATTTATTGCTGCAAAAATAATTGGATATTTCTCAGAAAGACTACACAGACTTCAAATAAATACTCATCTGATCTTTAGAACCTGTGCCCTATTGATTTTTAATTGCATCATGCTGCAGTTTAGTTTTTATTGATGGTTTTGATCACTGGAAGTACTAAAAAAAATGTTGGGGACACCAAAACTGCTTTGCATAGTGAATAAAACAGCTAGGCATCACACAATTCAGGTGCTCTAAAGTAATTTTTTAACATTCATTTATACTTGCTTTTGAAAGACATTATAGGGGGCTAGGGGTTTAGCTCAGTGGCATAAACACCTGCCTTGCAAGCAGGCGGTCGTGAGTTCGATCCCCAGTACCGATAAAAAAATGAAAATGAAAGACATTATAAATCAGAAGTTCATGATTTTAGAGAACTATATGGAAATAGTGCAAACATCTCTTTTTCCTATCTTTTCTTCTTTTTGTAGTAATGAGGATCAAATTCAAGAGCTCTACCACTGAGGTAATCCCTAGTTGTTTCTTGTTTTTGAGGCAGATTCACTTAAGTTCCCAGGCTGGCCTGGAATTTATGATCCTCCTGCTTTAACCCTCCTTGTACCTGAGACTGAGATTATAGGTTTGCACCACCAAACCAAGCTTTTTCAAATAATTTTTCTTTCTTTTCTTCTGTGTTGGTGATGGAACCCAGGTTCTTGCAGGTTCTAGGCAAGCTGCATCACTGAACCACATGTCCAGCCCAAACATTTTTTTGGAAGGAATTACTTTAGTTAGTATTCAGATAATTTTACAGTTTCCAGCCTGCTGATTTTAGTTTTATTAAAAAAAAAAAAAAAAGGCGAAACAGCCACGTAGGAATATGCCTTGTTCTCTGTTTTGTAGTTAGACCGTGGAATATTTTGCTTGTAACAGAGTCAGAAGTCAGGAGGCCACTGATTATCACCAAGACATACCCCTATGCTGCTGTTGGCACTCTCTAAATCTGACTTCTAGCCTTGTTTACTCTTCATCACATCTTGCCATTACAGCTGGTAAATTTCATCTTCCAATAGTTTTCTGACTTCCTTGTCAAGAAGGGAATCTGCTAACTCTTTTACTGTCCTTCTTGCATCCCTCTCTAAGGTAGGTGCTTTTACTTCTCATCCTTTCGGTCTCTGCCAGAACATATAAGGTATGGTGTACCTGTTTCACTATGCTACTGTCAAGGCTCCTGAGTTTTTCCTTCTGCAGGAGCCACCATTTTTCCCTGGGCTGTGTCACCACCTCTGTTACTCTCCTGTTGACTTCTAGGCACTATATGTAATAGCAGTGGTTCTGGTTCATTGTCCTCTTCATTCCTTCTTTCCTGGCTCTGGGTTACCTCACCATCCATAAGGGTGGGGGGCAAATGCCTTCCCCTGTGTTTCTCAAGCCAGTTATCAGCACCTTTTGTTTCTGTTCACCTTTGGCCCTTCCATCCTTGCAGCGTGGCAGGAGGGGATCATCAGGAGCTGTGCGGCTCTTGTTTGTCACCTCCAGCGTCCTTCCCTCCTCCAGTACCACTTCTCATCCTCCCCCACTGACTCTCCCGCTTCAGCCAGCCAGCCTCCTGTTTCCTGCTGTACCGTACATTCTTCTTTGACTTTCCTCCTTACTCACACACATTCCCTTACTTTTCCCTTTTTCCATTTACCACAGAGTTTTAATTTTTTTGAATCTGACCAACAACCTTTTGTGTTTCTGAACATCTGAATATTGCTAAAAATATGACAAACCTAGGCCAGGCTGTCACTCTGCATTCATGAGCACAAACTGCAAATAAGCACTCAGCTTTGCTTAAAAATCCTACTTTCCTAACCTACAAATTCCCCAACTCTCTTTAAGACCTATTTTTCTGTCGCCTCTTTTCTTTGACTTCCCAACACAGCTCATATCTGTGTCTTTCTGGTAAAAATTGGAGCCCTCGGCAAAGTACTGCTTTCAGTCTCACCAATAAAGCCACAAGTCGATTCCAAGTCTGAACCGAGGAATTTTGCCTTTCTTACGGTGGAGGAAGAATCACTGCACCCGTCCAAGCTGATCTGTCTCTGTGTCAGCCGCTGCCACCTTCAGTTTGTCCCTTTCCTTTAATTACTATTTTTCTATGTGTCATTACCATCAATCTTTATAAATGTGAGCACAGAGATATTTTAAGTTTTCAAGTGCCCACCCCTAAGATAGAATTCAAGTCTGAGGTTTTGGAAGGGAAAACATTTGTGTCTATATTTTCTCCAACCTTGTTTTGTACCTGTACATGATATAACTTGATTCTTTTTCCCCATTCCCGATTCAACCCCTAATTTACAAAAGCTTTGTTTCCATTTCCCTTTTTTTCTCATTTTTTCTTTTCCCTTCTTTTCTTTTGTCCTTCTTCCTCCCTAGTTCTCCTTCCCATTTAAACATTTTCTTCCTATTTTACAAAATACTTTCAAAATTTTGAATAGTAGAGGTTATTTTATAAAATGTGCATCTGTGTGACTTACTTGCTATTTCTTCAAATCTATCCAAATGCATTTTTTAATTTTTAGTAGGAATAGCACAAAAGTAAATGTTACCCTCAGTGCATTATGTTAGGACACAGCATGTCAGTTGGTCCCCTTTGTGATGTGAACTTGAATCACTTTTTTTTCTAATTACTTATAGCATCCACTGATTCTTCCTTCAAGCACAAATGTATTTTTCTCATTCCACTGTTTCAGAAAGTTTATTAATGTCCTGTGGTTTTTAATGCTACATATATTGTGATAAGTAAATTTATGTCACAACATGTCTCTTGGGCTATAATTCATATATACCCTTAGATAATTTAATATATCAAGCAGTAACTTTTCATTTCCACCCCGTTGGGGTTGCCAATGGCTATCCTGCCCCTTGTTTTCTTCCTCCTTTTCAATTTCTTAAACCAGGTAATTTTTATTTTCTATTTGGTCTTTCTCTTAATGCCTTGTTGTTACTATATCAGTAAGTTTTATCTGTCCTACTTGAAAATCACTTTCTCCTTGTACTCTGTTATGTTCATGTTCTAAGTCAGGATCACAAATGATAACATGCCCTTTACTTTCTGTTTTTTCAAAAAGTCTTATGGGATCACGGCTGTGCCTGTACATGTACATGTTGTACTTGGCTGCTTCTGTGCAGGTTGGAGCACTGGGACAGAGATCCTCATAAATGATAGTGAAAGTTAATGTCTGTCTCTTTAGGAAAAAGTTTGCTGATTTCTGATCAGAGCTGTCATATCTGGCTTAGATAATTGCTCCTAACTGGTCTCTCTATGTCTATTCCCACAGCAGTCAGCTTGACTCTAAACATGAATCAGATAATGTTCTTTTTTTAATTTTTTATTTTATTTTGAGACAGGGTCTTGCTATGCACTTCAGGCTGCCTTCAGCTCACTTTGTAGCCCAGGCTGGTCTCAAATTGGTAACAGTCCTCCTGCCTCAGCCTCCCATGTGCTAGGAAGATAGTATTCTTATCATGGGAAATCTCATGGGGTCCCAGTGCTCCTAAAAAAAAAATTAGTTTCCCACTAGGACCCATAAGGATCTAATAATCTTACCCCATTCACTCTGCACCATGGTGTCATACCATTTCCCTTTTATTCACTGTGTTCTGGTCACAGCAGCTTTTTTGCTGTTTTTGTAACTGTCTAAGCCATTTCCACCTGCTATGCACTTACACTAGTTTACTGCCCTGGCCCTTGTTTTTCAGAATTTCACTGGCAGTAGTTTTTCTGATCATCAGTCAGAAGTAATCTTCTTGACTACAGAGATGTGTTTACTTGTTTCCTATCAGCTGCCAGGGCCTCATACATGCTTGGCATAGCACAAGTGCCAAATAATGTATTTGGTGAAAGAAAAGTGAATGAACAGACACATTATAAAATCACCTGCTTTCTCTGTTGATTGTTTGAAATGTAGATGAATGTATTTTTCCAGAGTATTACATTCTTCAGTTTGTTTAAAAATTTTATGTGAAACAATTACTTTTGCTAATGCATTCTTTTTAAAATTATGTATAGGAATTCCATATCTAAATCAGGAAGAAGAAAGACAGTTGAGAGAGCAGTATGATGAAAAACGTTCTCAGGCCAATGGTGCAGGAGCTCTGGCGTATGTGTCTCCTAACACTTCAAAATGTCCTGTGACAATTCCTGAGGATCAGAAGAAGTTTATTGACCAAGTAGTGTAAGTTTCTGAAGTGAAACCAAATATGTGTCAGGGCCAGATTGATGTTTGTATTCATACCTGTGCCGCATACAAAGTACACACATAGGTGTGATGTCATGAATAACAGGACCTAAACATAGCATAGCTGAATCTGTGCAGCCACGGCAAGCTGTAGTCATGTGTACCATACTTGAATTTGCTCCTTGTCACTAGACAAGAGACTTCAGCAAGTGGGCTTCACAGCTATGTCCAGTAGGTGAGATACTTTCAGGTTGTAGCCCATAAGTTTTTTTGATCTTGTAACAGTGACAGACAAACATGCTATTGGAGGAGTGCTAGTCTTGCTTAGTTCAGTAGCCAGTATAATTGCTTTATTATAAAAGTAAAAATTAAATCACTGGAGTAGGTGTATCCTTGAGAAGTTGTCACTAATTCATTAATAGCAACAATAACTCCATCTAAATTTTATATCAAAATCTTTTTTTAATGTTTTTGAGCTAAAAAGTTGTAACACGATTGGGTAGAGTTACACCGTTCTACATGTACAGAAGTAAGAATTACATACGTAAGAAATATACGCTCTTGCTGGGCATGGTAGTGCGTACCTGTAATTCTAGTACTCTGAGAGACTGAGACAGGAAGAAGATTCCAAGTTTGAGCCCAATCTGAGCGAGTTAGCAGCTTAATAAAATTCTTTCTCACAATAAATAACAAAAAGGGCTGGAAATGGAACTCAGTGAGAAAGCTGTGGGTTCAGTCCCCAGCACTAAAAAACAAATAAAAAATCTTCCTCTCACATGCACGTGTATGTTCTTGTATTTAGACTGCTTTTGAGTATGATTATTTTGTTAGTTGATAATTTCATTCCTTAAATTACTTATGGTTGTGGTCTTATTCTAATTCTTTAGAGAGAAAATAGAAGATTTACTACAAAGTGAAGCAAACAAGACCTTGGATTTAGAGCCATGTACCGGGTTAGTTGTCCTGCACATTTTCACATGTTCATTTTTTTTGGTTTGTTTTTGTTTTTCATTAAACATAGATGATTTCTGGCATTTCATTCATTTAGTCTTTTAAAACATCTTTATAAATAGTCTTTCTAGCATAAATATGTTTCCAATATTTATGCACTGACTTTAGCATTAACATAGTAAAGACAATTATATAATATTGAGACACTGAATGAACGTTTTGTCCTGTCTCTAGAGAGGGAAAATTGTTTTTTTGTTTTTTTTTTTCCAAAAACTATTATGCAATGTTGACTTCAAGTTGTCCCTGAGAGTGACATAATTACCTTGGCTTGCAGGGGTGTTTTAACACAAGACGCCTTCAGAAAAGAAAGATGCATCGTCAGGCTACTCCTGACCTTTTAACTTGTTTCTGCCATTTAAAAAAATCAGCATTTAGGGGCTGGGGATTTAGCTCAGTGGCGTAAGCGCCTGCCTTGCAAGCAGGCAGTCATGAGTTCGATCCCTGGTACCGATAAAAATGAAAAAGACAAAAAAAAGAAAAGAAAAAAAATCAGCATTTCCATAACTCAATCCTTTAACATCTTTCTATTTACTTTGTGACAAGTTTCACACATTGTGTTAATGCATCTACTTTAAACTGTCTGCGTGTAGCTACAGGACATACTATTTTGATTAGATAAGAAATTCTACCTTTTCTATAAAAGCAAAATCATAATATTAAGAACATTTTTGATAAAGACAAGAGATTAGTAATTCTTCCACATCAAAAATCCTATCTAGTTTTGTTTGCATGTTCCATGAGTGTTCTAAAGAAGAGTCCTTTTTAAATTAAACCTTTCCCAAGCTGTGTTTGATCAGTTAGAGTTTACTTTTAATGGCCCCAAATGAATGCTTTTTCTCTTGTTTTTATAGGTTTCAAAGAAAACTAATTTATCAAACTCTAAGCTGGAAGTAAGTGTTTGTGTTGTATGTGAAATCTCTGTGGGGGACCTAGGATTTTTTCTTTTATTTTAAGGAGGAAAAAAATATAATAAAAACAATGACAGAGTTTCAGAATAAGATAATAGGAAATTGACAGTGGTTGATATAACGTATATTGTTATTTTCACAGTACTTGTTCAGATTATAAAATTTAGGCATGAATAATTGGTCAAAAAGTATAAGCATAAACAGTTTCTTTTCAAAGAATTAGTAGAAATTAATAGTGTAATTGTCTTAGTTATCTTCCATATATATATATATATATCCATATTTTTTTTCTTTTCCCTTCCTTCTTTTCTCCTTTCCCTCATTCCAGCTCTTTCCTTTTGAGCAGTTTCTTATCCTTTCACTATATCTATTATACTTTTTATATCTTAATTACCCTGTCAATTTTTTACACTAAGGAGACAATATGATGTCTGCAACTGCATTTGACTTTGGGTTGCATTTTCTTCTATTAGAATCTGCCAGTGACATGTATTCTGGGAATATATTTTAAACAAAACAGGAAAGAGTCATTGTCTAGTTTGCACAGGCTCCTTTCTTGTTGTGGTACCCTTACACCGTACTCTGTGTGTGCTCAGATTTCTCTTCTTGACTCATACAAACCTCCAGGTCAAACACAGCAGAGCTAGTCACCTTCGATTGTCCTTTGTATGCCCTGTGAAAAGTAAAGCAACCTTCAGAGACTCAGTTAGGAAATAGGTATTATATTCGTAAGCAGGATTTCACTGTGTGGCAATAACTTGATTATATTAAGAGAGTAATATATCTCTTTGCAAATGGGCAAGGGACCAATAGATGGAAGAACAGGGTGAAGCAGGTAGGGGAGACGTTGTAAAAAGAATGGAGAATTTTTTGGGTTTTTGAGATAGGGTCTTGCTGTATAGTATAAGCTGCCCTCAGACAACAATCCTGCCTCAGCCTCTTGAGTACTGGGGTTATAGGCATGCCCAGCAAAAATAAAAATTTTGAAAAGATACAGTACATTTTAGAAAATGCTTAAGCCCTAAAAAAGACTAATTTGAAATTAATACATTCCTTTGCAGTTAAGAACAAGATTTGAGAAGTACTGGGCAGCTGAATGTTATAAAATAGCCTGTTGTAAAAGTTCACTCAATGATAATGTTTTCTCTTCTTTTTTTAGCTACTAGGTATTAAACATAGGGCCTTATGCACACTAGACATACCACTGAGCAAAATCCCTAGCCTATTTCATGTTTTTTGTTGTTGTTTATGTTTTTTTTTTTTTCCCTCTTTTGGTACCTGGGATTAAATTTGTGACCTTGTGCTTGCCGGGCAGGCGCTTAAGCCACTGAGCTAAATTCCCAGCAGTTTTTGCTTTGTTTTGAGGCAAGTTTTTGCATTTGTAGTTCAGCCAGGCCTTGAGTTCCCTATGTAATCTAGGTTGGCCTCAGACTTGGAGGAATAAAAAAAAAAAAAAAGACAGCTGGGCATGGTGGTGCATGCCTGTAATCCCAGCACTCTGAGGCTGAGTAGAATCACTGCAGTTTGAGGCCAACCTAGGCTACAGAGTGAGTCAAAGCCAGCCTGAACTGCAGGGACCAAGGGTTTAGCTCAGCAGACAAGTGCCTGTCAGGCAAGCAGGAAGGTGTGAGTTAGATCCCTGGTATCAAAAACAAACACACACACACACACACACACACACACACACACACACACACACAAACATAACAAAACCTTGCAGGCACCCTCTTGCCTTAGAATCCCAAGTACTATGACTACAGATTTGTGTCACCATGCCCAGCTCTATTTCATGTTTTTAAATTTAGTGTATAGCTATATAGTTGCTTTTTAAGTATCTTGGGTTTTAACTGTTAGTGACTCCTTTATTGATAAAACATTTTCTTTTCTTTTTTTTTTTTTTTTTTTTTTTTTTTTTTTTTTTTTTAGGTATCCCAAAGGCATTCACATTGAGACTTTAGAAACTGAAAAGGTAACCTCAGGAATTATTCAGACCTAACATTAAACATATACAATAATGTGTTGAAAATCAGAGTTTACAGCCTGGCTACCACCTGTGAACTGATGAGCTTCTGCAGGTCATTTCAACCTCATCTTCCTCATTTATATCCTGAGGTTGAACAAGATGATGAAGATCTGTACTCTCACTACTTTTTTATGGTGATTCAGTGGATAAAATGCTTTGCAAACTTGAATTATACAGATGTTAATTTATGTTCTTCCTATAGTAGAAAATTGTAATGCTACCCATGAACAAAATGGCTTTATGTTGTATTGGCAGGAGTCCTTAGCATAGCTGCCAGAAATATCCACAAAGTATACTGACAGAACTGTGATTGGTGATGGTGGCTGGTGGCAGGTTCCTTTTGCAAAATTATAGAATTATTTTAATTTGGTTCTTTCTCTGAAATCATATATCAAATTAGAGATTGTATAACTTATAGAATGGTACAACCGCTGTGGAGATTCCTCAAAAATCCTAGGATTCCTCAAAAATTCGTAGGTTTTGAGGTCCCATTCAATCCAGCTATTTCCCTCTTGGGTATTTTCCCAGTAGAATTGAAAACATCACGCCATAGCGCTATATGTGCCCCCTTGTTTATAGCAGCAGACTTTGTAATAGTTAGACGTTGGAAACAACCCAATTGCTCATGACTACAGAATGGACTTAAAACCAATTTTGTTGGAAGGTAAGCCTCAAACTTTGATATAGAGAGCTTTGTATTATGTTTAATGGGTACAAAGTATAATATATGAGAAAGAAAGCACATAACCCGAAGAAATTCCAGTTTTTTTTCTCGTGTCCACAAAATATGATGTAGAAATTTTACTTTAAAGCTGTTTAAAAATTCATAGCCAGTCATGGTAGTGCATACCTGTAATTCTTGCACTCTAGGAGGCTGAGGCAGGGGAATAGAAGACTAACTATGGCAACTTAGGACCAATTTAGTGGGAACTCTGTCTAAAAATAAAAAATTACAAAATGGGCTGTGGATGTATCTCAGTGTGAATACTCTGGGTTAATCCCTAGTATGAGAGAGAATGATAAAATCACTTACCTTTTTCTCATAGCTTGTGGATATTTTCAGCTTACATCTGTTAGTTAGAATTAATAATATCATGGAAACAGAATTTTGATTTGTAGAGCATCATCTCAACATCAGTGATATTTTGAAATATTTTCTGTTGGACATGGCCCATGAGAGACTGTGTAATAGTAAAAATTTAAAAATTTTTTTTCTTTGAGACAGGGTCTCGCTGTGTAGTTCAGGCTAGCCTTAAATTCACTGTGTAGTCCAGGGGGCTGGCCTCGAACTCCCAGCGATCCTCCTGCCTCAGCCCCTGAGTGCTGGGATCACAGCCACCATGCCACCATGTCTTGGTAAAGATTATTATAATTTTTAATGGAAGTAGAATTTTGACTTTTGGATCAAGTTTTTTCCAGAAAATTGTTTATGTGCTGTCTTTTAGAAGGAGCGATACATAGTTATCAGCAAGGTGAATGAAGAAGAACGTAAAAGAAGAGAGCAACAGAAACATGCTAAAGAACAGGTAATAGACTGTGTGCCTTTGAGTTAGAAATGGCAGCATACTCATGTATTCCTTTCTGTGTATTTCTGGATCATATGTTGCATTCAATTTAATGAATAGTTTTGTACCATAGGCAAAATGAATTGGTAGAAAAGTGTGAACTGAAAAAGGGAAGGTTAAACCTAAACATTAGAAATAGCCGCCAAAGTGAGGCTGACATCTGGTCAGCCAATCTCTACTTCAATGAAATTGTGTCGAAGAAAATATTCTTGGGTTTTGAGCTGTGGCTCAGCACTAGAGCACTTAACCTAACATGTTTCAGGCTCAGGGTTCAATCCCCCAATCCTGGCACAACAGCAAAAGAATTTATTCTTTTTCGTTTTGTTTTTAAGAATTTATTCTTGAAGACCACTCAGGTGGTATGTCCCTGAGCTTTACTGCCCATTAACTAATGTTGCCATGTCTAATGCCACATAATTCAGAACATGTAATCTGACTTGATTAGGATGATGTGGTCCTATGTGCCTTGTTAATAACAACATCAACCTGGCCATTGTATGCAGAGTAGGTTGGAGTGAGTAAGACTGGTTGAGCTGAGTGGTGACCTGGCTGGAGACATCAGTGATCAAGACGGGAGAGTTAGTAGCATGGATAGACTCTGCAGAGACTTGGAAAGTAGAATGAGCAGAATTTGTGATTGGGTGTGCATGATGAAAGAGGAAGGGAGAAGGAAGATGTTCCAGCTAGAAATTGAACAACTGGGTAGATTATGGTGAGTTCAAATAGATGGGATGTGCTGAGTGATCCTGATAGCAGACATAAATGGGGCAATCAGGAATGGGCTGGGGATGGTAGGTGTCAAGCACATACATATTTAATGTAGAACCAGTTCTGATGATACTGCTGGTAAAGGTACAACAAACCTTCAGATTTAGACAACTTACTGTCTATATGATGAAAGAAAGATTAGTGAAACAAGTCAGCAGCCTGTGGTCCTTGACTGTGCTTTAAAAGGGTAACACTGAAACAAAAGGGCCAGATTGAGTATGGGGTACCTACCCCATTACTGAGGAGTGAATTCCACACTACAACGCAGTGCTTTTGTATTCTGCAGCCCTGTGTAGCGTGGGGTGTTGAAGAATGAAGCCCCACACCTGCCTGGAACTTGGAACTGCAGAGGCCATAAGGAAATGTTTCTGGACAGCCTCCCAGAAGTGAATGGGAGATGGCCTGAGGCAGCCTCTACTTCCCTCCTCCTTGTAAGGCATTCTGCCAGCTGGTCTTTGCAGGGTCATTAGGACACCATGGTGGGATTATTCCCCTTTGTGCAAAAAGGTGTTGCAATCCGCCTTTGACCTTATGAGGTTAGATGTCTTTGGGATAACCAAGGAGTATGTCCTGTTGATAGATTTGTCACTCTAGGAGAGAGGTAAGAGCCAGGCATGGTTGTTATTGACAGAGATATGGGGACTGGCTCATAGCAACTGCAGCATGCATGAGGAATGAGAGGAAGACTTTCAGTACAGTACTGAGGACTTGGTGTGTAGTTGAGAGGCAGAGGCAGGCCAAAGGGGCCCCAAGGTCATGATGACACACAGCTATGTCTGATGATGGGTGGCCAGTCATGCTGGAGGCTCGTGAGAGGTGAGGGTAAGAATTGAGTCATGGCCATTGGGTTGAACCCTGAGAGTAGTTTGTCATTGTTGATACAGTTTTTTTTTTTTAATCTTTTCTTTTTTATCGGTAGCGGGGATTGAACTCAGGACCACACACTTGCAAGGCAGGCACTTATGCCGCTGAGCTAAATCCCTTGCCCCTGTTGATACAGTTTTAAGACTCTTTAATTGTGACAAAATACACAGAACACAAACCGTATCAACTTAAGATTGTTTTAAAGTGTGCAGTTCAGTGGCATTAAGTATATTCACATTACTTTACAACCATCACCATCATCTCTGCAGAACTGTTTTCGTGAGGTAAGGCTATTACTCTATCCATTAAAGAATTCTCTCTCTCCCTGCCCTGGCAACTGTCATTCTGCTTTCTTTGAACTTAGCTAGTTGAGTACCTTATATAAGTGACATACAGTTTGACTGGCTTATTTCTCTTAGTTCAGTGTCATTGAGATTTCATTCATGTAATAGCATGTGTCTGAATTTCCTTCCTATTTAAAATGCACTAATGTTCCATCATAGAGAAACACCACATTTTTCGTATCCATTCATTGTTGATGGATAATTTACTTCAGTTGGTTATTTAGAATAATAATGCTATGAACATGAGTCATGAGTGTGCAATTTTTTTTTTGAGAAAGCTTCACACTGTCTTCCATAGCAGCGGCATAAACAGTACACAGCATTCCAATTTCTGCACATCCTCTTCAATACTTGTTAGCCTTTGAGGTTGTTTTAAGGAAGTAAGCAGTTTCAATAAAGTTGAAGCCAGAGAGCAGAGAACTTGGGAGTACTTGCTAGTTAAACTAGAACCAGTGAGCATTTAAGCAAGCTAGCTGTAACAAGCTGGGGAAGGGGCAGTGTTTGCATAGGGCTTAGAGTTAAGGACATGGTCAGAAAGATCCTAAACCTCTTTAATACGCCTGTGAATAAAATAGAGAAGAAAATGAGTGGGAATGAATCTCAGAAAGCTGTTGCCTAAAAAATTTGGAAAAAATGCAGTTGTCAAGAGAAAAAATATTCTGAATCGACTCCCGGATAGGTTTCCTCAGAATGTTATGCATCATTGAGTTTAGCTAGCAGGTGGCCACTTTTTAAAGTTTTCTTTTTAAATTGATTTTTAAAAAAAGACATCTTGATGGACTTGGAAATTTCAACAAATTATATGAATTTGTGGATAAGCTGTAGACACTGTTATTTTAGTACCTAATAAATAATGTTTCGCCTGTTTATTCCACTTACTAAAATGGAAGAATGGTGAGCATGTAGATCATTTTAGAGGCAGTTATACAGGATATTAGGTACAATGTATATGACACTAAAGCTGTCTAATTTGATACACATTTTCAGTGCTTTTTAGTTCATTCAAATAAAGAATATAGGTATGTACATCAATAGTTTTTTTTTTTTTTTAATCAGGAGGAACTAAATGATGCTGTAGGATTTTCAAGAGTCATTCACGCCATTGCCAATTCGGTAAGTTAAGCAGATTTTTTGTTTTTGGCTAGATTACTGAACCTAATATTGAAGGTGAATGCCTCATTACCCTTGCAAATTAATCATTTGCTCAGAGTGTTTATGTGGCATGGAGGAAAAAATGGAAGTCTGTAGTGGAATAGGCTTGATGTAACACACTGCTTCACAAAGCCTTGAAAAAATGTATAGAGGAATTACACTGTGATGTTACGTGGCTACATGAAACTAAGGTTTATTCTCAAAACCAGTAAGAAGTAGAATAAGGGAGTAAGAAATAAAGGGAGAAATAATGATGTTTGACTGAACATATTTTATTAAGTAGAGGAATTCAGAAATAAAAATGACATGGTTGAATTCTTATGTATAACTGTAACTGAATATTTTTTGTAATTTGAATCTTACATCTGATAGCCTTATTAATATTTGATGAATTTTACAAATATATTGGCTATGGGTATAAGTGTACTAGAGAGTTCTGTGATAAATGTAATAGATGTTTTTACTCACTTTCTTTCTGAAAAAAAGGCAACCACTTTGTCACTGATAAACTGCGTCATTCTACCAGTGGCTTTTGTCAGCCTGCCTCTTTAGATGCTGTTACTTAAGTCTGAGCATTTCTTTCTCTTGAGCAGTTGACCCACAGCAAAAGAATTATCATGTCCCTTAGATACTATGCTTTGTACTAGGAAGTTTGAAGGCCACCACATATGAAATATTTGGGTCGTGACCTCAATTTTAGGTTAAACTTATGACCAGAATCTTGAGTTATGACCTGAATGCTGACCACTTACGTGATTGTAAACAGACTCTTGATGCCAGAAAAGTGTATGTGTCTATAAGCATAAGCATCAGTCTAAGCCCAGATGTTTATGTTTGTGAACACGATTTCAGTCAGTGCTTTATATAATCCCTACAATTACTACTATCAAAATGGCCCCAAACATGCTAGAAAAGAAGCTAAGGGAGGAAAGGAAAGGAAAGAAAGCAATCACAATCAAAAAGAAGAAAATTATAGAGAAATATGAGAGTAGTGTTTGTGTGACTGATCTCACTAATACATACAGCATGTTGAAATCCACTGTCTCAATAATCTTACAGAGAGGGCCAGGGATTTAGCTCAGCGGCATAAGCACCTGCCTTGCAAGTGTGCGGTCATGAGTTCGATCCCTGGTACCGATAAAAATGAAAAAGACAAAAAAAAAAAAAAAGATTTGTATAAGATCTGTATAAGAAAGCTAGCATTGCTGGGCATTGTGGTGCACACCTGTAGGCCCAGCACTCTAGAGGCTGAGGCAAAAGGATTATCATGAGTTCAAGGCCAGCTTGGACTACCCAATGAGGTCCTATCTCCAAAAAAACCCCAACACAATAAAAGGAAATTAACATGCTGAAGGTTTTACTCAAATTAGTCTCCACAATATTAGACAAGGTAGAAAAGCTGTTATTAGTGTGTACAAACAAAAGGAAGATGGCAGATTATGGCCTATCTGAGTGTGTAATTTATGAAAAAGCTTGTGTTATAAATCAGATCTTGTAGAGGATAATCCATCAACGAGTGATAATGTGAAAGATTTCATGCCAGTAAGAGATGGTTTCACAATTTTAAAGTGAGAGCTGGAGGTCCTGATGGAGCAACCAGAGCTGATAAAAGAGCTGCTAAAAATTACATGTACCATTTCAAAACAATGACACAGAGAAATGGCTTTGGCTTTCAAGTTTTCAGCTGAGATGAAACTGACCTTTGCTCTAAAAAAATGCCTAGGAGAACATACATTACCCAGGAAGAGAAGAAAATGTCTGGCCACAAGCCTGTTAAGGATAGACTGACCTTACTGCTATTTGCCAATGTGAGTGGTGACCTCACAATAAAGCCTCTCTTAGTTTATCAGTCTAAAATCCCTATAGTATTCAGAAAACATAAAGTCATGAAGACTAAGCTAGGGGGTCAGGTGGAGATCTAACACTGAGTAGGTAACAGTTTTTAAGTGGATCAAGGAGTCTTTCTGTCCTACTGTTAAGCAATAGACAAAATACCTGATGTCCAAAATTAAGGAAAGGAAGATTTATTTAGATTACAGTTTGTGGAGGTTTCGGTCTGTAATCAGATAACCATCTGATTACAAGGCAAGGTGGCATGGCTAAGGGGCAACAGTTGAAGGGGGCAGAGGACAACAAAAGCAATAAGAGCAAAAGAGGGAAAGAGCCATCCTCTGTCCCTTCCTCATATTGTACGCAGGCTAACCACCCTAGGAAAACTAGAAATCAAAAAGTGTCAGCCCCAATTAGCCTATCTTTGCTTAACCTGCCATCACTATACTCTTGCTCAGTAGCTACTTTTTTTGTGTGTGTGCTGGGGATCAAACTCACAACCTCATGCTTGCCAGGCAGGCGCTTATGCCACTGAGCTAAATCCCCAGCCCACTCAGTAGCTACTTTGTAAGGCAGGTAATGCAAGGATAAGCTGATTGGGGCTGACATTTTGATCTCTAGTTTTCAAGGCTGATTATTTTTCCAGCTAGGTCTTAATGTTGGGCAAAGAAGGTAGATATTTGCTGTCTGTAATCCCTAGCTTTTCCAGACTGATTATTTTCCCATTTGGCTCTATTTTTGGGAAAACATGGTACTAAATGTAATGACTGTCCCTCCACTAATAACAAAAAAGAATTTATTAGTAGTAGCACAGAGTTTACTTTAAAGACTGATCAAGTTTATAGTTATACTGATGAAGACACAGATTTAGAATGAAAAAATTAAAATTTGAAAAATTGAACATTGGAAAAGTGAGAAGAAAGAAAAGTAAGATAAAGAATTCTACTGAAAAGTGAAAGTAAAAGAAAAGAATTAGATAAAATAGCAGAAAAGAACGTGAAGAAAGAAAAAAATAGCAAAATAAAGTAAAAGTTAGAAAAAAAGAGGAAAAAACTATAAACCCTCCCAAACCAATGAATTTTGTAAAATGAATAAAAAAATTACTCTGTATTTTCAAATGAGTGGTTTTTTTCCCCCAGGATGTCCAGACTTGGAATCCAGTAAGTCATGGTTTTGTCTCCATAGCTTTATGTTTAATGGGTTTGTGAAAAATACCTACCTGCCAACACCAGAAGCCCATCTGTATATCAACCCCGGACTGTGGCAACCATTCAGGCCAGGTTATGTCCTTTCTCACTTTAGTAGTGCTGGATGTGGTAATCCTGGCTGTAGGCAACAGGGTGGAATTCAAGCAGACTGCTGGACTCAGTGCCAGCACTTTCAGATCCAGCTTCTTCTGAAAGCTTCACCTACCATGACTTCTTACCATAGAGGGTAGAGCTCCCTTTCCTTCATAGCCTGATCTTAAACCTCTCTGTGGACTATATCTAGCCTGCACCTTCACTGACTGTGTCTTGTGGCAGTCTCTCACCAAGTTTTTGTGATAAAATGATACTGGAAACCCTGAAAATCTGTAGTTGTTCTGTGGCTTAGTCTTTCCCAAAAACACTAAGACTTTACCAAAATGGCTCCAGATTCAATTGTTTCAAATATGGCAAGTGCTGCACTAGATTTGTTTTCTAGCTCTAACCTGCTATACATAAAGAGTCACTTTTGAAGTAAAATCCCACACTATTTTTGCAGTTCACAATAGTTGTGGACTTTTCTTCAGGTTAGCACTGCTGTCCTGGTCCATTGTTTTTCACTGGAGCTACTGACTCTGTGGACTTACTTTCTCTGCCTCATTTATGATCAGGTTGGTCAGTCCGTTTGTCCACCAGCCTTTGCTTGTAATTGTCACAACAGAATTTCCATGAACTCTTAGCACAGCCATCCCTGTTAATGTCTTCTACTTCCATTGTATATCTCTGAAAACCAGGAAATTATTTAAATTTCACCTGTCTTCCCTCTATGTCCTTTTTCTCTTTCCAATCCTGAAATCCATATTGTATTTGCAGCTTATTCCCTCTTAGTCTTCTTCACACTTTGGCAGTCTTTCTTTATTTACCTTGATAGTTTTAAGTATTGATACTTTGTCAGATATCCCTCATTTAGGATTTGTGTTCTCTTTGGACTGAAGATAAGTGGCTTTGGTCAGAATTTCACAGCAGTGCTGTTCATGATGTTGACCTTAATCACTAGGTTAAGGTGAATTGTGTTCTGTGAAATTGGCTTTTCTCTTCTGTGGATAATAAAATATCTTTGAGACTATGAAAAACTTATTTTTCTTCAGACTCTTGCCCACTAGTGCTAGTATCTGTTAGTGGATCTTGCCTGCAGCAGTTACTGCTTTGAAGTATCTAATGATGAATCTATATTTGATTCTTTTTTTCCCACATTTTATAGGATTCTTCCTATATAGAAGGGAGTGCTATCCCTTTTTATATATGTGTTTTTACTGAGGAATATTTTTTTCTACAGTTTATTATCTAGTATTATCTTAGTTACTTTTCTCTCACTGCTGAGACAAAGTACCCAGTGTCTAATATTAAGGAAAGAAAGGTTTATTTAGCTCACAGTTTGTGGTTTCAGCCCATAATCAGCTGACTCCAAGGCAGGGTGGCATGGCAGAGGGGCAGCAGTTCATGATGGGAGAAGACAGCAAAAGCAACAAAAGCCAAAGGGGAGGAGAGCAGGAGCAGACTCTGTCCCTTATATTGTATGTAGGCCACTGACTGTGGGGTGAGTATAGCACTCACACCTGTAATCCCAGCACTAAACAATGAGTCAGTCACAATCTCTAGAATCAAGCATCTCTGAAAAGCACACCTCCATGACTGCGTTAGGCTTTGGGGGACATCCAGACACAAACCATAACAAGTATTTTTATTGTTTACATTGTAGTTTAGATACCTTTGGCTATTGGCACTTCCTCAGCTTGGGTCCTGTGTACTTTGACTAAGCCTCCGCCTTTATGAGCACTTCCTTACTTTCTGGGGGCACAAGAGGTTCTGGGTTCATCTTGTTTTCTCCCTGCCTCAGAAACCAGTGACTTCTCTAAGGAGTTCTGGTTATTATAATGGGAGAGTGGTGCTTCTAAACCAACATTTGGTCCTCAATTCCTACTGTGATACATTATTTTTTAGGACTTCATCATTTTTCTATTCATGGGCGATTCTAGAACTAGCCTCCTGTGGGCACTGAGGGAACTGTGTCTATTGGTGTGTGTGTGTGTGTGTGTGTGTGTGTGCACGCGCGTGTGTGTGTGTGCGCGCGCACGTGCACATGCGTGCACAGTTACTGATAACAATGTGGTGGTCAACTGTGAAGTGAATATATTGTGGGGCTCCTATAAGATTATAATGAAGCTGAAAAGTTCATGTGCTTAGTATGTTTATTGTGCCTTTTCTATGTTTAGATACACAGATACTTATCACTGTGTTGAGTTGCCTGTAGTATTTAATACAGTAACATGTTGTACAGACTTGTACCTAGATAGGAGTAACAGACTGGTCCCATGGAGCCTAGTGTGTGATAGGCTAAACTGTCTAGGTAATTCATGTAGGTTTGTGTAAGCACATTCTGTGATGTTTATCTAACAAGGAAATTGTTTCCTACTCATTTTTCAAAACATATCCTTGAAAGTATATTATGTACATGGCTATGTCCTACCATCCCTTTATACTTATATGTCTAATTCCAATTATATACTACACAGTATATTTCATCTACTCTTTTTTTTTTGGTACTGGTAATTGAACTCATGACCTTATGCTTGCCAGGCAAGCGCTTATGCCACTGAGCTAAATCTCTGGCCCTATTTCGTCTACTCTTGTAATTTATTTCTAACAGTAAGAAATACAGTTCTTATTACCTGTCTTGTCTGTATTTGCTTAAATCTGGTGAATATGTGAAATAGTTCCAAACTGTTCATCCATACCTGTGAGGAGAATCATGTTGGCCAGATTCAAGTATTTATGAGCCTCACTGCAGCTAGTGGATATATTGTTTTCCAAGATTTTTTTCATCAACTTCCTCATTTATTAATGTTTGTATTCCATCTTGGGTTCCCTACACAGCATCTTTCTCATTTTAGTCAGTGGTTGGTATTTTAGCGTTGTATAGGAATTCAGAATATATACAAATATCAAGTCAAAAACCCCGCATGAAAGATTTGGGAGATTTTGTGTAGAATTATTTATTTCGAAGAACTGTATGAGTCCAGCATTGGTTCACTGAAGAGCCATTGGGACCGTCTAAAAAATTCTAGTGCAGAGACCTCACACTTTGTGTTAAGAATGGTGTCACCTGGGTAATTAAGTTTTAAGCTGACATTCTATTTGGGTAGTTTAATTTGTATCAGAATGGAGTGATTTATTGCAGATATATTGTGCTTCACTTGATTGAAAAGCAGTGCAATGTAGTGGAAATGTACTTACCATGCTTTGTGAAGTTTGACATAAAATGATGTAGGAAATGAAAATTTATTGTGTTTAATGTAAGTTATTTGGGCCTTTTAGCATCTATTAGGACTATCTTTTAAAATAAGTGGTGAGGTTGATTGATTGGTTGATTGGAGACAGGATCTCACTGGGTAGTCCAGGCTGGCCTTGAACTCATGGCAATCCTGCCTTGACTACCTAAGTGCTTGGACAGACATATATCACCATGCCCAGCTAAGTAAGTTATTTTAAAGAGTAATTTTAAAATGTGTTTTTTGAATTTTGCTCACAAATTATTTAATAGTTCAAGAGACTAAAGAAAAAGTAAAAATTACACTACTTTTAGCCAAGTGCTGTGACAGACACCTGCAGTTTCAGCTACTGGAGAGGCTCAGGCAGGAGCCCAGAGGGCTGGGGTTAACTTGGGAGCCCCTGTAAAACCGTCTGAAAAAACTTTTTTTATTACTTCTGATTCTCAAGGGTGATAAATTAATAAAAATCAGAAAAATATCAATGAAATAAAAGTCATTAGGAGTTTTTATTTTGCATTTTGGATTTAACACTCCAAACTTGAAGAAAAATGAATCCAGCTCACATTTTTTGTTTGCATGTATTTATACTTTTTTAAATGTGGAAAAGCAAGTTTAGTACAAAAGATCTTTATGGAATTTGAACCATATGTTTTATTCTCAAATCTTGATATAAATGTGAACCTAGATGCTAATCTTGTTTTCTTTAGGGAAAACTCGTTGTTGGACACAATATGCTCCTGGATGTCATGCATACAATTCATCAGTTCTACTGCCCTCTGCCTGTGGTAAGTGGCTCACCTGCATGCATTTAAATGTGTGGTGCTTTCTTACTCAGACAGTATTGTGTGCTTGAGTGCTCTTTCCTTGTACGCACTGTGTTTTGAGAGAGAGAATCTTACACACTTCGTTGTACATGTTTAATGAGATGTGCATAAAAGCTATTTTCAGGTATCCTCAGTCATCTGCCATTGCCAGAGCAAGGTTAAATATTGATCTCATCTTGATGTTCACAGTTTGCTCATTTAGTGCTGGGCCAGAAACATGGCCTGCTAGTTTAGCACTGCTAAAATTAGATGTAGCAGGACCTCTGAAGGTAAGTGGTGCTAACTGAATTGGATCAGCTTCTGTGCAAAATTTTTGAGTGCCTCCCACTAAGTTGCTTCACTGAGGATTTCTGTTGACCTTAGTAGTGTTTTTTTTTTCTTTTTTCTTTTTCCATGCTTCTAGCCAAATCATATAATGTACTAAGCTTAAACTTTGGCTTCTCTTCTGCTTCTTGCTGTTTTGCTTCCTGACTGCACATGGCTGCTTCTCTTGCAACATCACTCATCCTCCATTTTCCTTTATTTTCTGTCCTTTAGTGATCTCACTTACTTTCATTACTTGGGTTTCAGACACTAACATCTCTGTCCCTGGCTGTGGTCTTTCTCAGTGCCAGGTGTGTGTCTCTCCTGCCGCCAGACATTTCCACCTAAGGAGGAAGGTTGTATAGGGTAAACCATAGGTCTTAAATAAGGTAACTTTTACTACTTTTCTGCATACTGTCTCCATAGAAGTTTTTTTCTCCTCATTCCTTTACTATAAATTATTTCCAGTCTCTAACCCTGTTTTTAGTATCAGTTTTGACTCTCTTTGTCCCTAGATCCAACCCTTTGAAAAATCTAAACATTGTCATCTCCATGTTGTCTCTCATTTTAGGATTATTTTAATTTCTGTTGCAAATAGCTTTATTATTCACCTGCAATTTGAACAAACTCCAACCTAACCCCTGCTCCCCACAACATTTAACCTACCTTTGAACTTGAGGTTGACAATTTTTTTCTCTAAAGGGGAAAAAAGATAGAATATTTTGGTCTTTCGGGCTGTATGATCTTTGTCACAACTCTTAGCTCCACCAGGTAGCCCCAAACTGCCACACAATGTGTAAGAAATTAGTGTGGCTGTGTTGCAGTAAAACTTTATTTAAACAATAAGTTGTGGGCCACAGTTGGTCTGGCAGGTCATAGTTGGCAAATCCTTTCTTTAAGATAATACAAGATTAGATCAATTTTTTTTCTTGTGCATTGGAAGACACCTACTCGAGAGTTAGGTTTCATTTGTACATCTGAAAACTTTAATTTACTTTACAGTTTTTAGGTGAGGTTGCCCCATCAGCATCGTGATTACTGGAGTGGGTTTGTTCTTCCCTGTCATTCAACTGTTTTAAGGGTGCTACTACTTTTCATAACACCTCCATTACCCTCTAGGTACCCTCAAAGCTTCGTAGCTGTAACTCTCAAAACAAGTGTGGTGGGAATAGATTTGCGTTTTATATCTAAAGGGCTAATAATGTTTGTTTCAGATCATCCAGTTATTGGTTGGGTAGACCTGACTGGCAGCTTCTCTCCTGATATTCTGACCTTTAAAGTAATGAAGTTATCAGTAAGGAAAGAAAAAAACATATTTAATACCGTTTCAAGATGTTTTAAATAGCAAACGGTGTGACATGTATGAGGCATTAAATATTGGTTTAATGAGTATCTTCAGACTACCAGTTTTGTAATCTTCTGGCCTGCTTAAGATCCTTAAATTATGTCACATTTGTTTTCTGTATAGTCGACTTCTTAGCCTGGCATATCAGGCTTCTGTGTTCTGGCCCAACCTTCCTTATAGTCTTAGCACTTTTACTTTCCTTTTTCTCAGCTAGACTGGCTCATTTCTCCCCTGAGAAGTGCCTTTGATTGGGCATACAATACAACTTGAATTTTCTTCAGCTTTTCTCCGTGTTAGTAGTCTAAGTCTTCACCTTATGTTTCCAAGATCCAGTGTATGCTTCCTCCGTGAAGTTTTTCCTACCTTCTGTCTTTTTGCTCAGAGAGGATCTTTTTCTGAATTTGCACAGAACTTGGTACCTCTGTGGCACACAGATTTTGTCTTGTATTATACAGCACAACCCTCCTTCTCAGCAGTGTGTTCTGTAGAAGAGGGTCTGAGTATCTGCTGCAGCACTTTGTATATGAGCACTTAATAAATACTAATGTAAAGCTAGCCTTATATCAAATTCTTGTAGAAAGCAGGTGATTTAGTAAATAATAGGAATTGGATTAGGATAAACAATTTTATCCTTTGCTTTATCACTAAGGCAACTTATGGTTTTTTTTTTTTTTTTAAGGAAAAAAAGCAAAACAGAAGAGAGGGTAAAAATACCAAATTTCTTTTTTTTTTTTTTTTTTTTTTTTTTTTTGTCTTTTTCGTTTTTTATCGGTACCAGGAATCGAACTCATGGCTGCCTGCTTGCAAGGCAGGCGCTTATGTCGCTGAGCTAAACCCCCAGCACCAATAATACCAAATTTCAAAAAAAAAAAAAACCAGTAAGAAATAACTAGTTGATAAGTTACATATTGTTATCTTAGAAGTAGCTGTTCAAGTTACAAAATCAAAGCATAAGAAATGGGCAATCAAACAATGACAGTACAAATCATTCTGTTTGATGAATTAGCAAAAACTTAGTAGTATGGTTGTCTATCATGCACACTTATACATACAATTATATCCTTTAGAGTACTTCCTTTTCCTTTCTATTACAGTATCTATTATACATTTTGTATCTTATTACTCTTTCAGTTTTTCATTATTTTTTGTACTAGAGAGATAATACAGTATTTACAAATATGAGTGATTTATTTCCTTATGAGGATAGTCTCATGTCACAGCAATATATGTGTACCCAGGTTTATAGTGGCACAATTTATAATAGCTAAATGCTGGAAACAAATCAGATGCCCATCAGCTGCAGAGTAAATGAAAAAGATGTGATATTTTTATATAATGGAGTATTACTCAGCTATAAAAAGGATGATCTTGAGGCTTCTATAAGTAAATGGAGGCAACTTGAGACTCCTCATAAGGGAAATTGTATTTTGTTACTGTCAGAAGGAGATGTTTTTCTTTTATTTATCTTTGGAAGAAATAATGAGAATGAGAAAATCTTTTTAAAATGGAAGAATTTTACATACATCAGCACCAAACTTTCCATTTAAAAATATACCAAAGATCCCACATTTTAGAGCTGCCTTTCAGGGAAGAGAGTCTTCTTATGAGACTGCTTGGTACTTTAATATGACCCTTTAGAAGGCAAGGATGTAGAACTCTGCTGTACTTTGATCTGGACGGAAGCCATCATTTCACCTTTTCTTTTCGTAAAGGACTGCAGTAGTATTGAGAGATTACCAACAGTCATGGCAGTTTTGCTTGACTTACATTGCAACCAGTTTTTCACATATTGCCATTACTTTAGTGATAATCATTGACAATCAAGTAAATATATTAAGCTAGCTAAATACAGTCTGTATTTACAGGCTTGAATGCTAATTTTAGATGGCAGTTTCCCATGAAACCAGTAACATTGGAGAAAAGTGTAGTTTACAAAGGGTCAAGAGTGTGACTACTCAATCTAACATTGCAATTATGTACATAAATGAATTAATTCAGAATTAGAACACTCATTTCTGCTTTAGACTGATCAAAATAAACTTGGGAAATGAATTGTCTAATTTAGGCACTTGCTGTTAGTGCCACTTTAGCAATTTTCTGAGTACTTATATCAAGAATCAAATGTGTATTTTAGTGTGTATTTTAACTAGCATTTGTAGATCATTTCAGAGGTAAAAACTAGTTTACAGTTTGTCCATTTCCTGTATAAACCACTTAATATTAATGATACTGCTCGCTGAACAATTATTTCTAAGATGGCAATATGTAATCCATTAACTAGTGATTTCCTACTGTTCATTTTTTTCTTCTGTAAATCTGTATAACTTGTACCCTTTCACTGTTTTTTTACTTTTCTCCTTAAATAAAATTTAAAAAAAGAAAAGAAAAAAAAATGATACTGCTCGCTCCCCCACCTTTGTTTTCTTTTTTTGGTGGTACTGCTGTTGAACCCACGGTCTTAACACTGAGCTGTATTCTTGCTTCTCTTTATTATTTTTATGTTGAGATTGGGTCTTACTATGTCACTAACTTGCTCAGATTGGGCTTGAATTTGTGGTCTTCCTGCCTCTCAGCCTCTCAGAAGTCTGGAATTATACGCATGTATCACCATACCCAGCTTACTCTCAGATTTATAATAAATTTTTATAATGGATCACAACCAGTTAGCTATGGCTGTTACTTTCCTAAAGATATTAAAAGACTCTCAACTACATAGTTTTCTGCTTTTTATATAGGACATTGCTTTTTTAATTTCAGACCTAAAGTCCTTAAATTTTACTATTTTGGTTATGCAGAGAGATTAGTTATCAGGTCATATTGTTCCAAATCAGTGAAGAAATTGGGAAGTTTTTTTTCTAAAAGAAATTCTAAACTAGAAATGGGTTTTGCAGTTTAACTTAAAGCCTGTATGAGGTGTGTCAGTTTGAGAAAATAGCTGTGCACCTGAGCTGCTTACATTTGTTTTCAGTAAGTTAGTTATACTGTGTTAGGAACTTCGTATTGAATCATTTTCTTGTTTTTTAGGACTTGAAAGAGTTTAAAGAGATGACAACATGTGTCTTCCCCAGGTAGAGTTTCTTTGAGGTCTTATCTTTCTTATAACATACACAACAGGAATAGATAAGTAGTAATTTATGACAACTCTTGGGTTATGATTAGAATATAGTTCATACATGTTGGAGAATTATTTAATATATCCAACTTTGTGATGGTTGACTATTTAAAATTTGTGATTTGTTTTGTTATCCCATTAAAAATCCAATTCCAAATTAACTGAGAACAAAAGCAGATGGTGCCTTGTTATCCCACATCTTGCTGTCTCAAGGACTGGCAAAGAGGCCTTGAGATGGCTCTTGTATGTGGTCTGTGCCTTGTCACTTGTGAAGGGTTCATTTGAGAGTCCTTTCTTTCCAGTCAGACTGTCTGGCTATAGATTTTTCCCCTCTATTCTAAGTTAGTGCCTTTTTCATAGTTAACATTGCATGCTACATCTCATGTGTCACAAGTCTGAGAGACCACATATCAGTCATGGGTTCCCTACAGAATAAGGGTCTGTGTTTTAGAACCCATTTAAAGGGGAACAGGTTGGTAGTTAAACAGTTTATTTTCCAGGTAAGCTGTTTCTGTCATATTAGCCACAGTGTTCACATTCGTGTGAAAAGAAGTAACAGAAATACCACTTTCATATCAGTCTTTGTCTCTCACTGTTCAGTATTTTCAATCTCTGAAGTAGAATAATGAGAAATATCAACAGAATGAAACTACCAAATGTGGATTTTGAGCTGCCATGAAAATTTATATCATATAAATATGGGAAGCAGCAGTGGATGGTAGTGGTTTGGGAAGTTAGACCTTCAGTGGTATATGAACCATGTGAAAACATATGAGGGCATTTAACTGACTTAGACTGCACTATTTCAGGGTAAAAGCAAATCTAGAACTGGTTCCTCAGTGTCTCTTGGAACGTAGACTGTCTTGCATTGCTTGAAGAAGTCCCTATGGTGGGACTCTTGGCTAATGTAGCAGTGATGCTATGACTTGGAAAATGTGTTTGGTTTCTCTATTTAAGTGTTTTATGCATTAAGTATATCCTAAGACTTCATGTATTAAGTATATGTTAGGTGTATACTTCATGTATTTGAAAGAGTACATTTTGAACATCCATACACATTTTATTTACCTAATTGAAAATTCTTCTGTCTTTTAGACTTTTGGACACTAAATTGATGGCCAGCACACAGCCATTTAAGGTATTATTTAAACTTTAACTATTTCTGATAAGCTATACTTTGAGGTTTTTTTTTTTTTTTTTTTTTTTGGTCTTTTTCCTTTTTATCGGTACTGGGGATCGAACTCACGACTGCCTGCTTGCAAGGCAGGTGCTTATGCCGCTGAGCTAAATCTCCAGCCCTGAGATTTTTTTTAATTACTTCTAATCGAAATTAGCTTTGGAATTGTAGTCTATTTAAATGTCATTTAAGATACATTCAAGAAAAGAAAAAAGCAATAAAGGAAGAAAAAGAGGAAAAAAATCAGAAAAAATGAATATATTCAACCAGAAATAAATATATTCAAATGTGAACAATGATTGTCTTTGGGTGGTGCCATTAAGGGTTTTTTATCCTTTATTTTTTGAATGTAAGTTTTTAATATCTTCCTTTCTTCATTTTCTTTTCCTTATTTTATATATTTTGAATGTATTTTCTAGCCAAGAAAATTCAAGCCATAGTATATAATCATTGCACTTAGGGCAGGGCCTTAAATAACTGAGTAAGGTGAATGCCCCCAACAGTACAGCTTTCTGGCAGAAGTCTTTACGTTTTTAATGTGTCTGTAAAAGCTTTCTTCCGTTTGGCTATGCAGTACTTTCTGTAGAGTGAAAATTTAGCTTGCTGCTTCTCTTTTCCTTTGAGTAGAGCGAATTCTGTTTCTATAAAGAACACCAGGGGGCAGTACGGGATGCTTTTTATGTGACTGTCTCACTGGTGGATTTCTTTAATATATGTAGCACTGAGAAGATTAAAGTGTCATAATTCTGTTTCCTGGTTTTCAGGATATCATTAACAACACATCCCTTGCAGAACTGGAAAAACGGTTAAAAGAGACACCTTTCAGCCCTCCTAAAGTTGGTAAGAATAAAACCCTCAAACTCTGATAATTATTGATGTATACTGTAGAAAAAAGGTGAAATGGCTCTAAAACTATATTGCACATTTGTAGACTTTAATTAACTTGCTTGTGTCCATATTGAATTACTGTTTTCTGAATGAAATGGCCCTCTAGTTCAACATCTTTTTTATACTAATAGAGTTTGGTAGGTGTTCATTGAGAAACCTAGCAATTAAAACTTGAAGACTTTTATATCCCAAAACATGATATGTTTTTTTATATGGCACATTGTTTAAGCAGACAAAGAATTGGTAGATAGTTGTCACGAGGAGAATGAAAATACATTTTCTGTCTCAGCAAAGCCCAAGATCTGGGTCTATGTACTGATGAGATTAAAGAAGAGTCTCTACTTCTGCTTCCTTCTAGACTGGTTTAAGGAGTATTGGGGAAAATTGGAAGTCAGGAATATTTATGAGATACAGGTGTTCTGGCACATCTGGTCACTATGTAGGTATTTGGTGAGCCTGGTGCTAAGTCATTGATTCTGATAGCTTTATTGTATTGCTGATTCTGTAGTTAGCATTCCATTATCTGTAACCTGAAAACTTCTAAAGATGTTAATAGGCCTAATAATTCAAAATGGATAATGGAAGATATTGAAGCAGCCAAGATTACAGTTGTGTTTTTCTCTTTAGTGAGTAATGGCCCAGTAAGAAATTAAGAAAAAGGTGGTGGGAGGAAGAATCTGTTATAATATAATGGAAAGGATTGAAGGAATGTGTTTAGCTGGGGGTAGTGTGAAAGATATTTCTTAGGTGCTGCTATGTTAAAAGGGTTCTTAAAAAGCTTCAAGTCTGACTTAATACTTAAGCAGAAGTGAAAGAATTCTTAGTTAAAAAGCATTGTATTGACATAAAAAGTTATATATTAATTTGTATTCTGCTTCAAATTCTGGGTTGTAGCTTTCTTGACATTCATTTCCAGAGTCATTCTAGGACATAGTTATTTATGAATGATAGTTTTATTCTGTTGTTTCCATACAATGTTCTGGTATCTGTTGGAGAAAACAAATTGATCTCTTCAGACTTTTTTTTCTTTTTCATTCTTCTCAGACTATCTTTTCAGCATCTGCGTATATTGTGTAATAGAAGATTCATGTTATAAGATGATCTTTAGTATGAAATGGCTCATGATCTAAAGGCAGCACTACAGAAAATTTTGATCCATTTTTGGAGTACATTGTGCTGTCAGCTTTATATCTCTTAGCTAATAAGCATAGTAGAGTTGTTGCTGACTTTGAGCTGCCAGTATTGAACTGGAATTGTCATTTTGGGGAGGATTACCTGAAATATTGATAGATAACAACTAGGTAGGAGTTTTACTTACATTGTACCATTTGATCCTTACAAAATCCATCATCTCCATTTTACAAAACTGGAGTCTCAGAGGTGATGTGACTTGCCCAACGTCATGTAGCAAGTAAGAGGCAGAGCAGAGATTCAGACCAGGGAAGTGTAGCTCCAGAGTGCTGCTATTAATGTTTGTTGTATCCTGATGGTATCATTGTGTGCAGGGAAGAATTTCATTTTTATGACCTTACAGGGCAACCAGGAGAAGAGTAATTGTCACAGAGAGAGTTTCACATGGTAATGTTTGTAAGTAGCAATGCAGGTTGAAGAGACCTTTGGCTGAGTCTTTGGTCACTTAACTGAAGAATTTTTCTAGTCTAGACAAAAGTCTTCATTTTTCAGGAGTCTGTTATCTCATCATAAAATGTTGGATGGAGAGAATTCAGAAGTAATTTTTTTCCTGCTTATTTAAGATACTTGTGTCATATATTCTAATGCAATTTACATTTGGTAAGGCATTGTGTTTACTAATCTTCATGTTTGTGATATACTAGGGAAAACTTTTTTTCCTTTTTTCTTTTTAGAAAGTGCAGAAGGTTTTCCAAGTTATGACACAGCTTCCGAACAGCTCCATGAGGCAGGCTATGATGCTTATATCACAGGACTGTGCTTCATCTCCATGGCAAATTACCTAGGTACTCACTGTATGTGTTTCTGTCAGGTACACAGTGAGAGGGAGTGGATCTCACCTCTCTCTTTGCCTTAGTTCAAGCTGCTATGGCACATTACCAAAGACTGGGCTACTCAAACAGTAGACCTTTGTTTCTCATAATTTTGGAAGCTGGGAAGCCCAAGGCCAAAGTGCCATCAGATATGGTGTTTGGTATAAGCCTATATCTGGGCTTGTAAACAGTTGTCTTTTCATTGTGCCCTCACATGGTAGAGAACAGACAGGGAAGGCACTACCTTGTCTCTTGTAATCCCCTTAGTTACCTCCCAGGGGTTTCACTTTCACCCCGTTGGGGATTAAGATTCTATATATAAATTTTGAAGGCATACTCATTTAGGCTGTAGCACTACCATTTCCCTAGAATACCAGCTTAGCAATGGGAGAGTCTAAGGAAGGAGTTGGAGGAGATGGGAGGGTAAAAAGAAGAGGAACCACTAAGACTTATTTTGTGAGGTACCTTGTCTAATTAGACTGTTGTTTTAAATTTTTTTCTTTTTTGTCTGAACTTGTCAGACTTTGTCCACCTGACTGTGTATAATATCTTGCCTCTTTTCTTTGTTAGGTTCTTTTCTCAGTCCTCCAAAAATTCATGTGTCCGCCAGATCAGAAATCATTGAACCTTTTTTTAACAAGTAAGTAATCAGAAGGTCCCAATCCCCTATTTGTTTGACCATGGATGAACATAATGTCTTGGGATGACTAGGAGGTACATTTTTAGATTAAGTATTTCTCATTTCTAGTAACTCAGATGGTTTTTGAGAATAGAAATTGACTTTTTTGGAAATAGTTTTTTATGTACATTGGCTAAAAGAGAAAAAATTGCTAAAGGTAATGTGTTTTTTCTAAGAAAAAAAGACTGGTGGTTTTGGCATTTGAGTTTTTCTACAAAGGAGATATATACACAGGTACACCTATCTCCTACCTTTACATGTGCAATTATTATTTAATGTTTGCATTATGATCTAGTTATATAATATTTCTAAGAAGATGTTAGAGAAATGACATTTAGAATAATCTGTGAAGTTTTGATTGTCACTGCATCCTGAATCTTCATCTGAAAGGATCCAGTTGAAGTAAAAAGACTCGCATGTGTATCTTTATTGCTGGAAGGACAAAGTCAGTGTGATATAGGGAAAAGGCTTAAGTTAAGAACATTACTTAAAAATCTCAGACTTGTTATTTCAAAGAGTAGTTTGTGTTTGGTTGGCAGAGTTGAGACTAAAGTCATGGATATGCTCCTTAAGTCGGCCACTTTGGCTTTTGCCTATCCCTAAACCTTCGTCTTTGTCTCAGCTCTCTTACATGACTGTGTTAGATTCTGTATGAGCCAGAGAGAACAGGGCAGCCCACATCACTCACTGCCATTGGCAGAAGGAATTATTTTAGCGTTGGCTGTTACGTCATTCCCTTCCTCTATGCAGCACTTTCAGTCTTATGACTACCAAATTAGAATACAGATTCCTTAGCAGGTCTTCTAATGCTAGTGCTGCAGTGCAGTACCTGCCTAGGTGGCAAGCTGCTGAGGTAGCTATTCAATCCAAATACCTAGATTGCTACAGGCTCTGGGTTTGAGTTAGTGAATTTTATCACACTATAACTCACCATTTTTAAAAATCTTTGTTGTCTCCTATGGAGGTTCAGAGTTAAATGTGTTCAGCTTTCAAAATCTCTTTCACAGCAGACTATTTGATAGTGTATATATTGGAACTGAAGTTGAATTTTTCTGCATAGGAAATTGTGCTAATCACTGAGTCTTTGCTGTCTATCTACTTTCTTAAGGGAGAAAAAGAATTTTCTTAGCTCTTAACTCATTTTGTGGACTGTGTTTATCTCTGTAAATCTTTGGAAATGTGGCTTATGCCATAAACCATAGAAGACACAGGTGACAATAAATGTGGCTTAAGTCATGGCTGTTAGGTTTGTATGGACATGATGTTAAATTCATTATTCTACAGTACGTTTCAAGTGGACGTTATTTACTCATTTAGAACCATTTGAAGCAACAATCCTGCTTCTTCATTAAATTCATTTTTATAAAATCAGATGATGGATACAAACTGGGTTAAATACAGACCTAGTCTTATTAGTCAGGTATGTGACCATCATACAGGGCAATCAAAGGAAATTTAGATTAGAAAACTTGAGCTAGGCATGGTGGTACACATCTGTAATCCCAGCACACTCTGTAGGCTGAGGCAGGAGGATCACTACAAATTCAAAGCTAACCTGCAATACCTATCGAGACCCTGTCTCCAAAAAAAAAAAAAAAAAGTGAACACCAGCTCTCTGGGTCCATTCCAGCCTAGAGTAGATCCACAGTGCACAGTTCCAGGGTCAGGCCAGCCTCTCCTCATCCCTGACCATGGCTGGCAAGGAAGAAGGTAGCCTAAAGAGAAGGCTTGAACCACAGCAGAGCCGGAAGGAATCCCAACATTTAATGGTGTCTTAGAAGCAGATGGTCGAGAGAGAACTGGTAAGATCTGCTGAGACTGAGCTAAGCCTCTGGTTGGGACCCAATAAGCAGATACAAAATTGTCGCAACTCTGTGACGTCTACAAGGTACAGCCTAACTTGCGGATTGACTGACACAGAAGCTAGAGGCTAGCCTGCACTGTCCCTGCATCCCTGCATATACCTCAGATAACAGCAAATTGGGGAGGGCATCAAAAACTCCAGTCAGCACGCTTTGGAAAGACCCTAAGCAATATGGAGACCAGAAACATGACAAGAGATAGAAATAAAAAAAAAAAATCTCCAGCTGCCGAACCTGGGAAAATAAGCCCAGGAGAAGTAAATACAGAAGAGAACCAGTGCAGTAACCATCCAATACTAGACACAGCATCAGCGGATATAAAGAAATACCTTCATGACCTCACAGACGAATTTAAAACTGTACTTCTGATCCAAGTGAGGCAAGATATAAAAAGATTAAAGAAATGATAAACTCCTCCCAAGAGAACACAGATGGAAGAACGGAGGAAATCAGAAAAGAGAAACCTCTGATGAAGAATTTAAACATAACCTAGAATACATGAAACAGATCTAAAGAGATTACCAAGAAACTAAAAACTCCATTGAAAACTGGCAAAATGCCTTGACAGGAATTTAAGTTAGCCTTTTGAAATTTGAAGAGAGATTTATGATATATGATCCTGAAAGAAAAGACCTCTTAAAAATAAGGAGGTACCAGAAAGAAACAATTCAAAGGCTAGAAGACGACAAAAGGATACATAATTTAAGAATAAAGCACCTGAGTGAGGAAGCAGGAGTAACCAAAAATGAACTACAAAGAATATTCACAGATTATAGTAAAGGAAAACTTCCCAAGCATAGGAAAAAGAAATGATATCCAGATAAATGAGGCATACAGAACTCCAGCCACCTACAACCAAAACAGATCTACACTCAGACATACAATAATCAAGATTGCAGAAATCCACCAAAAGTACAGAATATTAAAAGCAGGCAGGGAAAAGAAGCAGATTACCTACAATGGGAAAATTATCAAAATAACAACAGACTTATCAACACAAACTCTCAAATCGAGACCTGGGGGGAATATTCCAAACCCTGAAAGAAAATAATTTGCAACCAAGACTGATGTACCCAGAAAAACTCTCTTTCAAAATTAATGGAGAAATAAGATGTTTCTAAGACAAGGAGGAACTGTGGGAATTCATGGCCACCAACCCAACCCTACAAAGAATGCTAAAGGACATTCCAGAGAGAGAGGAAGCGATACCAGTATTCCAGCAACAGTGGCAGAGAGGCCTCAATGAATGAGGCACACAGTGGAATGAGGGAGTAAGGTGGACAATTATAGGAGTAAAGTGGAGTAGCAGACATGAGGCAATCTTTAATATAGATAGCCTTGATACTCTAAAATAAAAAAAAAAAACAGGCAGAGTAGACTAGGAGGCAGGCTCCATCGAGATGCTCTGAATGGGAAACAACCTGAAGGAGGGTTAATAAACTGAAAAGTCAAAGATGAGAAAGCAAAGCTGTATGTGACAGGAAACTGGAGAGAAATAGGGACAACTCGTCCAGCAGCCGCAGATAGATTGGAAAGCTGTGACACTTTTGGGCAGTATAGAACTACACAGCTGGAAGGAAGGAAAACTTTATGACTAGTAAGTCAAGGAGTACAGCTCAAGATCAAGCTCAGGGGTAGAAAGGTTCAGCAACACTCAGATAGACAATGGGCTGGCCCCCTAATCTAAAAACTAAAGGGCCTAGTGAGACCAAAAACATACAAAGCATCCTGAGAAAGGGAAAGGTGAAAAATAGCCTAAAAAAGGAAGGCAGAGGTCATTGTTAATTGTGTATCAGGATTTAAAAGTCACAGTCTTTTTTTTTTTTTTTTTTTTGTCTTTTTCCTTTTTATCAGTACCGGGGATCAAACTCATGACTGCCTGCTTTCAAGGCAGGTGCTTATGCCACTGAGCTAAACCCCCAGCCCCAAAAGTCACAGTCTTATCACTCTGTTTAGTTTGATTTTATTTTGTCCTGGTCTGTCACCCATATCAGATTTGAGAGCATAGACATCTAACCCAAAACTAGCAGGATATACCATGGTAACTATTCTTAATTTCCTATTAACTTAAACTGAAACCCTTGTCTTACTATCCCTTGTCTTACATTGTCTTACTATAAGTGATCTTATTTGAATCTGGTTTATTAGACCGCAGTTTTGCCTTGGCTGATTTTATTCAAATTCAGTGTGCTTGATAGTACCAAGTCTAAAAGTAGAGACAACTACTCTGAAGATAACAAGATATAAAAGATATCCATACGGTTTTGATTATTAATCACTCTGAAGTCCTACAATGTTTTCAAAGTTGCATTTTTATAAAAATAGCTATATAATACTATGCTTAACTGTATTAAGCCTGATGATGTGGACAAGTCTATTGAAAATAAGAGAAAGCCTAGTAACTACGGTAGATCACCTAATATTGTGGTCTTGTGTGTCTTTTTCATTGCATGTTTTTCTAGGAATGTGTTTTGTTGTCTTGTTATGATATGTTTTTCCTTATAATACAGAGAGGATAGATACACATGTAGAAATTCACACATGGGAAGAATTTTTTAAACAGATTATATAATGCAAGATGTAATGAACAGATACTCTGAAGAAGAGACACTAAGAAACCCAGTGCTAATTCTGTAACATTATAATATAAAATCTAGCAATACTATTATTCACTGTTCAGAGTGATACTAGTCTAGTTTCTTAAGTTCAATTTCAGCATACATAAAGATAAGGACAGCTACTATGAAGAGAATGAGAGACATTATGGTAGTCATTATTACCTTCCCCAATGTCAGATATTGAAGACTTAAAAAGCCTTCATCATCCTGTAATGATTTGATTAGTTCTATAATATGCAGTATGTATTCAATGTGTATGAAGATGGGGACAACTATTTGGAAGAAAACTAAAGACAAATAAGATAGACAGTGAAGATCTCCAGTGGACTTGCTTTGAAATCTGAATTTCTTTAAATTGTTTCTTTATGAACTGTTTTGTTCCATTTCGATATGTTTAATCTTACCTTCTTTAAGATAAAAAACAAGTGTGTAGGACTGATAACCATATTACTAAGTTTTTGTTGGATCATTGTGCAGAACT